GCGCCCACCGTTCTCCAACTGCTCGATGCCTGCGTGTTGAGTCATTCGATTAAGTTGATTAACTTTTAAATTATCAGCAATTATTAAATCACACTTTTTGTGCCCGGTACTCGAAAAGTAAATAAGCGTCGCACAATGTTCCTCCTCTTTCAATTTTTGTGTGTGCTCGACAGTTCTGTTGCACCTCTCTGTCTCCTTCTTTCTCTCTAACTCTACCTCTGCCTCTCTTTGTCGCTTCTGTAAACAAAAGTAAGGAGAGATGGAGAACAAACATACCTTCCCCGTCGCTGCTCTCGTCATCACAGTTATTTATGAGACGGGCATAGCCGCAATAGTATCTGCCATGGCCACGGCCTGAACCGCTTAGCATGCCAAAATCGGGGGTTTCCAACGGGAGGACCCAACAATTTCTATTTTATTACTTAAGTTCTTTAATTTCTTTCGCTATGTGCAGTTCTCCGATTCTGAATGACAACTGAAGTAGCGCCGGGGCTGCGGAACAGTTTCTTATGTGGCCGCTACTCCACCAGATACCAGATGACAGAATACCAGACACTATTTGATCGTACTCTATTTACACACATGTTTCATAAGCACTAAAAGTTTAATGCGACGGATAGTATTTCAAATGTATTGTCTATGCCTGGCTTATTCCTTTTGGAAATCCGGCTGTTCAGATCCAGCAGTGTCACTAATCGGTAAATGGGATCAAAATTAATTACTCAATTTGCGGGAGTGTCTTAATTTGCCAGAGCACAAATGACGTCGTCTGTCATCTCTAGCGGAAGATCGAGGTGTTAATACAAATATTTATACAACTTTTTACCACAATCCCCCTGACGGACAGACGTCATAACAAGCAAAAGCGATGCCAGAGCAGCCTCCGAAGTACAGCTAGAAAGCTCTGTCCAGCAACCAAGTCCACTCAATGGCGTGTGTAAACCCTTGAGCTTACAGAGAGAGAGAGAGAGAGAGAGCACTTAATGGAGTTTGAAAGCTCTGCCAAGTTCTTTTGAGTGGGAAGGACAGATCGAGGGAGGCTAAGTGAACACCCAGACAAGGCCAATGAAATTTCATTTAAATGTTACTAGGTTAAGATTCATAGATCGATTTCGAGAGCTTATGTGGGCTGAGAGACCAGCTGATACACAGCTCAGCAAAATTCGTATGTGCGAAAAAACTTAAAGAGAGAAGAGTCAAAGAAAATACTTGACACAGGCCTTAATTGAAATTGTTATTGTCATGTTAAAGAAATTAATTAAAGGTCTCTTGGCGTTTGCATTTTTGGCAGCGACAACGCGTCTCACAACGTTCCTTCTCGATTTTCGTTCACCTTGTGTGCATTGTTTGTGTCCATCTCTAAGCTATCGATTAAACGATTATCAAGTGGCTGATAAACCCTGGTAAACAGCTGAGCATAGCGGCGGAACCGTTAACAACAACAAACAACAGCCTGGCGGTCGGCAATGGCAATGAAAGTGTAATGGCAGGTTGTTTACACAAAATAAACAAATGCAGCAGCGCCAGCAGCAGCAGCAGCGGCAGCAAAACAGCAACAACAAGATGTGCTGCAACTAAGTGGGTTAAGCAGTGCAGTGCATGCACTGCTTGCACTTTGACGCTGGCCTTAAACTTTGCTTTCATGGTCACACACTCAAGCCAAGCATAAACAATAAAAATCAACAGAAACAGAGACAACAGCAACAACAAAGCATAATGTAATTGGTATTGAGAAAAATAAACAAAATTAATAATTAACATTAAATTAATTGCCGCACAACTCGAGTGATGCAGAGTGGAGTGGAGTGGATTGCAGAGTTGGTACCTTTTTTTATGGCGCATGTAAAGTGCATGCGAAATGCATTTCATGGTTTTACTATATTTAAATGGCGTGCAGCAAATTGTGGGAAAAACAATAAAAGATGTCACACAGCGACAAGCCCACACAGGCATACAGAAAAAAGAAAAGCAACAACAAAAATGAATCAAATAAAGAAAATTAATGCTAGATTCGGTGGCCGAATCTTCAGAATATAAAATTATTATTAAACCCAACACTTGCAGGTTAATGTTGACAGATTAAAATTGGATTAATAAAACACAAAATCCCTGCAGTAGTTTACATATTTATATGCTAAATTTAGCAACCAAAAACCAAGTAGCACATTGCCGGGTGACAGAAAAGAGCGGGAGGTGTTGGGAAGAGGTTGGTGTAAAGTTACGTGGTACAGAGAGGGGGGTTGATGGTAGGACAAAAATAGCTTACGTATGGGCCTGCGACGCAATCTGGGCTCATTATTCACGCCGCCACTGTTCGGGAGGTTCTCAATCGGCTTCATGTTGTCACGGTACCACTATGTACTACGACAACAACAAGTGGGTGCGGGGGAGTGGCATAGCGTGGGTGGGCGTTTCGTATAATGTGTTCGATTTGTTTGTGAAAAGAAAAGAACCAAAAGAAAGATACATAAGGTAAATGTCGAAACAAACAGAAAGTAAAAAACAAATTTTTAGACAAAGCAACACAAATACTCTTGTGGCAACACTCAATATTTCCACCCGTCGGTCAATTTTTTGGCACGCCACTGTATGAATGAATTCCGTATGCCAACGGACGCGGTCAGAAAAATAGAGCCGATACAGTAAGTGTTGCCAACTGGACACTGTTCAGGCCCGTCACTGTAACCCCTTATGGGAGATCCACAGCGTTCGATGTGTAACAGTTGTGGACATTTTGGTAACACTTTTTATGGTACAAACTCAAAAAACATACACCGAGCATTGCGAGTTCTTAAACTTAAAGCTGGATAATGTGTTGACCCGCCACTGTGGACCGCTTCAAAAGATAACAGTGCAAAATAACCGGTTCGACAGCGCTGCCACACGCAACACGCACACACACATTCACAATTACATTTGGCAAAGAAAAAAATGCTATTTTTCCTGTCTTCCACCCCCTTTACGGTTGTTCTTGTCGCTGCTTGCTTGTTTGGTTTTTATTTTTTACCTTTCTCTCCCTCGGCAGAAACGCGAATGATCGCAGGCAACTGAAAGACCGAAAGCGAAAGATCTTTGCCGCTGACTGACCGGCAAACAAAACAATCGCAACAGCAGCAACAACGCGTGAACCAGAAGAGCCAAGCAGAGCAGAAAAGAAGAAAAGTATTATCAAAGCGCAACGCTGGCGCTAAGTCGCGCCTGAATGACACAAGTCGAGGGGGGACCAAGACGAAAAGCGCACCCTTATCAGAGCTGTACGAAGATAAGATAACTTTTTTGAACAGGATAGTTTTTTCGAGAAGAGAAACCGACCGATAGTGATAAGATGTCAATATAGTCTTTAGATTTCATCAATATGAAACATTTTTCATTTGAATACATACATAAATATGTATGTCTATAGTCAGTTTCTAACCATTTGCTTTTTGTGACCCTGACATTGACCACGAAACCTGGATAAAGATGAAGATGCAAGAAAAAACCAAAAACATACGCAATGCACATATGTACATACATTGTATGTGTGTATACATACTCTTATACATGCATGCATTCAAAAGTGTACATACAGACAGTGGAAGTGGAAGACAACTCCAAAATTGGAAAAGGAAACAACAAGAAGAGTTAGATTGAATATATGTATATAGGGGGAATGCCCTGTTGGTCTAAGAGAGAGTGGGACACAATTTGACTGCGTGCAATAAGCAGAGATTAACAGTTAGTCGATTCTTTATCGCACTCACTCCGGGGAAAAGACAACACGTGCTTTGTCTCTCCTATTGATTTTTACCCCACAACCATCACCAAAGGGAGCAGGAACACGATATGTACGAGTAGATGGGGAAATAACTTCACTTTTCCACTGCTTGAATTTCATAATCAAACGTAACCGTTTCCTCCCGCAAGGACGATAGTTTTCTTTGATTTTCCGTGATTTGCGAAACACACACGTGCTGTAGTTGTTTATAAGCGACTTTTGTTTGCATTTTGATGACTGTTCGTCTTTTGTTTTTACATTTGTGGTTATGTTTTGGCGAAATGCAGGGGAATGAAAACAACAAAGGTATTGCCGCTGGTGGGGGAAAGGCGTGGGTGGACAGTAGACAGATGAATGATGAAACACCGAGAGAAGTCGAAACAAACGGAACAAAAAGAGAAGTAGTAGTGGCACACACATACAAGGTAACCAAAACGAAATAGTCAACAACATTTAACAATTGGCATAAAAACAAAAAGGGAGTACGGTTATGGGCACACACACAGGCACAAACACTCACATCTTTTCCAGACAACTTTAGTCGCGGTAACAGCGCGAACTTGAAGTTTACTCCTGGCTTCATTGACTTGCAATTTCAAACTGTGGCCAGCGGGGCAACAACAACCAAAGAAAAGCGCAGACAACAACGGCCATGCGGCGGCGGCGGCATTTTCCACCCCATTCTGCAGCAGACGGCACAGCAAAAACAAAAACAGGAGAGGGGTTCTTCTTGGTTACCCCTCCCAGCATGCAAATACCAGGCGCTTTCGGTGATAGCCCAGCTGACATGTTTCGATATCGATAGACGCACACATCGATAATAAACATTTTGGCTACATTTTTGTTGTTAAATAATTAACATAGATTCATTTCTTCCAATAGAAACAGTAGCTTTAACATTATATTTTTTTTAAATTCGAAAACATTTCACAACGACGTGTATCTGCTTCAACTGTTGCTCAACAACACTTATCCGACAGGTGGAGCGCCTCATGCGCAGTTTTTCAACCCTCTGAAGTGCTTCCTGCAGCCCGCGTATTCAAAAATGCGCACTTATAGACCGAACTCGCATTATTCTTTAATTAAAATATAGGATTACAATACCACAACTAACAAAACAACATAGATTTAAATTGCCTATCGTTTTACCGTCTTATCCGCTTCTTGCGACAGCTCTGTTTCTTGAGCGAACTCCTTTCTCGCTCATTCCCAAAACTGGAAAGCTGGAAAGATCGCTTCAACTCTGTGACTCTATTACAAAACGGTGCGGTGTTCGGACGCGGATAAGCTGAAGCTGGTGGTCGAGAGATATATAACAAAATTAGATCAGTGCAAGTACAAGGAAATAAAATAGAAAGAAAGCAACAAAAAAAACCCAATTTGAGTCGTTTTGTGTAATTTTTTTTAACATTTTCGTTACATATACTTTTTGCCCATTCTCCGTACGTGTGTGCCAGCCGACCATCCTTATTCCGGCTAGTTCATTTTATATTTAGTTAGTTTTTTGTCTTTTTCGACCGATATCGCACATCGTAATTAATTGCCTTTGTCACTGTAAGTAGTTGATGTATATAAGATATTTTTGCATACAAATAGATATGCTAGTGTGTCAGGTGTATGTACCTACTTTTGTATGTACATATACAAATTGGAGTCATTTTTTTTGATGATCTTCATTTGCCTTGTCTTTCGCACTGCCGCCATGTTGAAAATGTGTATACATCGACGCATCTACCATCGTCATCTCGCTCTAACGCATGCACTATAGGCTGGAATTGAGCTGTGAAGCGCCGTTACATGTGTGGAATTCTGGAAGTTGCTTTCTTGCAACGTTTGGGTTTTTTTTTCGCCGTCCAAGATTTACAGAAGCAATTGCAGTGGTCTGTTATGCAATAATGTGAAGTTCTATTTTGCGTTTCTAGGCATCTCACCATGGAGTCACTTTTGATGGAAATGGTACGCCCGGTTACCTCGGGCAGTCGCCAGGCACCTGATCCATTCGACCAGTATCTGGAGTGTCACGGGCTCTACCGCAAGCACACGGCCCGCGACGCCTCCAGCCTGTTCCGTGTGATTGCCGAGCAGATGTACGACACCCAGCATCTGCACTATGAGCTGCGTCAGGAATGTGTTCGCTTTATGACACGCAAGCGTCGCATGTTCGACCAGGTTAGAAAGTGATTCAAAGCCTTCTGCCCGTTGGTTCTTGTCTAATATGTTTTCCGTCTCCTTTGCAGTACATTAACGGAAATTTCGACAAGTATTGCAGAGAGTTGGCCAAGCCCAAGACCTACGGCACCATGCTCGAGCTGCGGGCCATGTGCCTCATATATCGGTGAGTGGTTCAGGCATTGCGGTGTGGTTCAGCTAAACCAAATGTTTCCCATATCCTCGGCAGCCGTAATGTGATCCTGTATGAGCCCTTCAACTTGGGTGCTGGTGTGACCTTTAATCACCGCTTTGTGGACAACTTTCGCGTGTTCTACACCAATGAGAACCACTTTGATTCCGTATTTGAGCGCGAGTGCATGGCGTCGGCAGCCGTTTGTCAGTGTAAGTGAACCCAGACCTCGCTCTCGCTTCAGGGATGCTCTTATGCGATTTGTCTTCTCTTTGTGCTTATAGCAATCACTTTCAAGCTGCTCTACCAGTCGCTGTTCAAGCTGCCCGACGTGAGCTTTGCTGTGGAGAGTATGCTCCATCCGGACAACTTCAAGTGGGACTTTTTCAAGGCCGAATTCGACCACAGGGGCTATATGGTGCGGCTGCGCTGTAGCGATGGCCGCTACTTCCCGCTGGACCTACCAGAGCTCACAAAATGCATTCTGGAGAATTACAAGCTGTGTAAATTTCATAACAGCAGAAGAACAGGGAGCAGCCACCTTAGCCTGTGCAACGGCAACGACGATGGCGAGGGCAAAGTCGTATGCGAGTCGGGTGAGAAGCCGCCAGAGCATGACTTACTGCAAATGTGTCCGAATCGTTATGTCTCGTGTGTGCGTCAGCTGCTGGATGATGGTAAGAGCTTAGCTGCCACTCAGGATAGAAGTCTTAGTTTGTAATGTGATCCCTTTTGTAGGTATCACTCCGTTTCCATACAAGGTGGCCAAGTCCTTGGACCCAGATATGTATCGCAATGTGGAATTTGATGTTTGGAATGACATACGCAAGGAGACAAAGCGTCACAGTGTCTATAACAATGATTACAACTTTAAGGTAAAACAAACGAAAGGAAAAGCCAAAAGGAAAATCACCCACACACACACACACACACACACACACACAATCACACACACAAACACACTCAAAAACACACGTTCCATCAATCTACACTTGCATCAATCATTTATGTTCTCTTTTCCATCTACTTTATGTCTTGTCTGCTCTGTTTTTCTTCCATGTTTTCTTTGGTGTCCTTCGCAGGTGGGCGCCAAGTGTCTGGTGGAGTTCAGGGTGCAGAACCAAGCATGCCACTACACGGCCTACATACAGAGCATCAACATCAGAAAGAACGAGTGTGTTGTGTTTGTGGAGAAATTTGGCAGAAAGATTTTGGTACCATAAACCCCCAAAACCCTAAGACTTCGTTCCTGCGCTTTCTTGGTGTTTAAATAAATACTAATCTCTCTCGTTCTTTCTCGTTTTCTCGCTTAGGCACCCTATGACACGCTACATCCGGTGGCACCCGAAGATTTTCATCCCTGGCAGATGCCCTATCGCCACCACATGCACCAGCACCAGCAGCAGCAGCAGCAGCGGCAAATGCAACGCGATCACATGACCAAATACTTTAACAAAAACAAGTTGCAAAAGTGGAAGAAATCCAAGCAGATGGACCCGAGCACATACTTACAGCCACATCCAGAGATACAGCCGCAGCCGCGTCTTCTACGACACTCGCAGCATTCGCGCCCTCGTGAAGACTCGATGGATCGTGCATACAAAAGCATGCTAGCAATCATTAATCTCGAGCCGGAACAGGAGAAGGAGCAGACCCAAACGCAAACGCAGGATCAGGAACAGGAGCAGCAGCAGCAACAGAAGTCTTTGCCTTTGAAATCCGAGACGCGTGAGCGTGATGAGCGGGTCCTAAAATGGCGTCAGACGACATCCAATAAATCACAGAAGCCATCAGCCACTGGGAAACTATCGGCCACAGCAACGGAAGGCGCTTTAGGAGCTACTCACTTTGTGAACTTTATGCCGCTGATGGGAGTGGGCGGTGGCCAGGTCCCACCACCACTGCCAGCCTGGGCAGGCTCTGGGCTAGCCGTGCCCGAGGAGGCTTATCGCTTTCCCATGCCACCGCCGCCGCCATCAATGCTGCCCTTCGCTGGATATGCACCAACGCCGCCGGGTTCTATTGCCTTGCATCCGCAGCTACCGTTTATGCCGCTGCCACCGCCGCCACAGCCGAACCGTGCAGCTCCATCGCTACATACCCCGCACCCGTTTGAGGGACAGCCACGTCGCTCATTTATGAGTCGCGGGGATATGCCGCCAGATATGGAAACACTAAGATACTTCTACAACATGGGCGTGGACATGCATCTTCGCATGTCGACGGTCGGAATGGAATCGGAGTTGAATGCTGGCGGACTAGAGGAGCAATTGGGCAGCCTCAATGTGACCCCACCGCTCACACCCGATGCCGGTGAGCAGGACAAGGTCAATCCGTTTGGGTCCAAGCGCGGCCCCAAGTTACGCGGCAAGCATCCAGAGCAGCTGAAAGACCTAAACGATAAGCTGTCACAGGCAGTGTCTCTCTTGCCCACACCCACGGCAACGCCATCGCCCAGTGCCAGTGGCGGCAGGGCGTTCAGCTTCTTTAGCTCGTCGCCGGGCGGCTTGCCACTGTCGCCGACTCATCTGGTGACACCGTCAGGGCCGCCAATATTCTTTCAACCAGGACTGCCACAGCTAACCACACTGCCCAGAGGCGGTACTGGAGGACAGGTAAAAAGATTTTCAGAGCGTAAGCTGAATATTTCGTTACGACTTTTGGTGTTGCTTTCTCAGAATCACTATGCCTGGCCCTTGTCGCCCACAATGGTGCCTGCGGCCGCTGCTCCGCCACTCTTTGAAGTGATCAACAACTTCTCCAACGATGTCAAGCCGCTGCATCAGCCGAAGAAACAGCAGCAGGCGGCCACCAAGTCTTCCCCGGCCAACAAACAGGTAGCAGATGCCTATGCTTCAACTCGTCATCAATAAAAGGGGGGAAAGACAACAAAGGATCACCTGAAAGACCCAACACCAAACCAGCCACCAACCATCCACCAGCCAAAACACTCCAACAGAATGATCCTAAATTTGACTTGCATTTTTTAAAAATTCACTCAATCGCTTTTTAAATTTGTAGACTTTTTAACACCCGTAAAGTATAGCCCTCAAGCAACTACCATAACTGTATACGATATATATATATTTTTTTAAAACGCACGCCACAAATAGCATGAGGGATCCATCCTAGGAGCACAAGTTGAACCCCCACAGGAGATTGCACGGCCAGGCTCAAGTTCAATTTTAAATCTTCACTTTTATGCAATTTTATTAGTTCTAAACAACACAACAGAACACTTAAGAACCATTTGCTTAACGAAATGATATTTAATCCAACATTTAAACTACAACAATTCTACATAAATACACACTCATTCATATATACCCAACATATATTAATCAATTTATTTTCATCAGCTAAAATGCAACGAAATTGGTTGCAAGAATTTGTCAGAAATTTTAAATCGCAAATTCGTTACGAGGCCAGGCTTTGCTTTGCTTTATGGCGGGGCTGGGCTTGTATGGAGACTCTTTTGCACTGTTAAAAATAAACGTAATTCGAATTAATGGCTGATTTGGATGATTTGATATACAGACCTGGGGGGATTTATAATGCAGTTTTTGATCTTTGAACTGCCTTTTTTGGGTGAATTTGGATGCCTACTTAAACGTGTTACATAAAAAAAAAAACTGATCCAGCAACTGCTTCACCGTATCTTTCCAATAATATTCAAAATCAGCTTGGTAATATCCATCACAAAGTCCACGCGAAACTCCTTGTGTTGGTGGCTGGGAAGTGCCGAATAGGTTTTCTGTGATTTGGAAACCGACGCCGCATGGCCAACACAACAAAAAGAGGCCAGCAGGAGCAGCAGCAGCAGCAGCAGGGTTGTCAGCATATACCGAAATGTACTCAATTCGCGTCTCATTTTTGGATGATTTGTATATTTATTAATGCACTTGCAGCTGCTTTATGCGAACTTGTAACAGATCTGCAGTATGTACTTCGTTGGCTTTTGGTTTGCGTTTTAGTTGTTGTTGAATGCACTCAATTTAATTCTGCTTACAAACTGAAAACGCTTTGCGAAAGTGTCGCATTTTTATGCTGATTTTTCAAACTGGCCAAAAGGGCGTTACCTGATGACCTACATATGGTCATGTGGTGGCGCGCTAGTTTGCTTGTGCCATTGTTAACAGCTTGGGTGGGCGTTTGGGGTAATATTAGTAATAGATAGGGGGGGGCGTATGTGTCATTACCTGGATCATGAACTGGCAAGGACGAGTTATAGGTACTATAATAAATGTAGGGAGCTTCAAAATCGCATTGAGACTGCACTTTTATGGCCAAAACAATCCAAGCCAACCTCCTTCGATAGCTTTAATCGATATCGAATTCCAATAAGAGTTGACTTGTTTTAGAACACAAGAAATACTGTGCATCGAAGTAAATAAACTAAAGTTTGTCTTCAGCATGCAAGATGAGTGCATTTCTTTTATAATGCCATGTAAATTTCAGCAAGTTGGTGTTATTTCACAATTCTGCTCGATATTTCTACGTAATCGATAACAAGGATTGTCAAGTGCACTCAAAATGAATTACTGCAACTTCCGCAAAGTGCATTCGATACTTCTACCTGTGTATAAATTTCTGTGTTTGTGCCCATTTAAATGACAATTCATTAGCTATTTTTTTCAAATTTTTTATTTGTTTGCAAAGAAACCTGAGTGCCACGCCATACACTGTGAATGGGGTGTTTGTGTGCGTGCGGGGGGACGTTTAAGCTGTGTTAAAACATAGTAACTAAACGCCAGAGCCAAAGCCAGCCACTGAGAGGCCGACACGCAGCATCCCAGCCTAATAGGAGGGAGCCGAGTAGGCGCCAGGTCCGGCTTGGCCGGCACCACCATAGTGCTGATGGCTGTGACCGCCACCATAGTGACCCTCGCGCTCGCCAGCAATGCTGGCCAGGGCGGAGAGACCCTGGTTGCCGCCCTGGAGCAGCTGGTAGCCGGCACTGGCAGCGGCGCTGTCAGCACCAGATGCATAGGCGGGCAGTGCTTGGCCGGGACCGTGCTGATGGCTACCGCCATGACCGGAACCGTGCGAGCCTGAACCGTGTCCTCCGTGGCTGTGGCCACCGTGACCGTGTCCGTGATGGGAGCCCTGGGAGCCGCTGTGGGAGCCCTGTCCGTAGCCCTGCTTGTTCTCATTGACGAAGTACTTCTCTGCTGGCGGCTTCACCACATTGACGAACACAGGCTCGACCTTGACGCGACGTGGGTGGTGCTTGACGTAGACCTTGCGGAGCACGATTGCTGGGGGCTTGTGGAGCACAACGGGTGCGGGCTTCACCACCAATGGAGGATGATTCACGAGCACCTTGGTGGGCGGACGCTTCACAATGATGGGCGCTGGACGATGGATCAGAATCTCGCCCTTGTTCTGGGGATAGGTGATGGATGAGGTCAGGGTGTTGCCCTTCGTGTTCACCGGCTTGTAGGGGATGTTCTGATCGGAGCCATAGCTGCTCTGTCCAGCGGAGCCATAGCCGCCGCTCTGTCCAGCCTGGGCCACGCCCGAGGCGTCGGCACCCTCGCCAGCTCCAGAACCACCGCCGCTAATGGTGTACTCGCCGCCATTGCTGCCAGCAACACCACCGGCAGATGCTCCAGCGGATGCATCGGCGCCTCCATCATTGCCGCCTGGACCGCCACCGGCGCCGGGACCGCCGTAGCCCTGTTGCGCACCATAGCCATTGGCACTGGCGCATGCCTGCAAATAGAAGATCAAAGAGAGACGATTGTAGATCGTGTGGAGACTGTGGAGACCCAATGCTGGGTGTGTGTACGTACGATAAGGCAGGCGGCCAGAGCCCAAATGTAGCTCTGTCTTGTCATCGTTTCTTGTCCCAGTTGCAGTTCCAAGTTGGCGCTCCGATGATGGTGCTCCCAATTGGATGATCTGATGTCTTCTGCTGCCCTGCCTCACTCGGAGATTTCTTTAAATATGTTCTGGCATGACGGTACGTGACATTTGGCCAGCCACAATCCCGGTTCCAGTGCAGCCGACAGCCGTCAGCCGCCGCACCAGCTCGTTCCGGCTCTTCTGGTTGTTGTTGCTGCTGCTGCTGCTGCTGCTGCCGGTGGTTTTGGCCCACGCGAAACATGGCCAAATGCAGACAGATCGCACGCATCGCACATCCATATCACGGCTTCTTACGTAGAAACCAAAAACAAACAGCACCAACAATCGAAACTTTTGCATCTTTTCAGTGCTTGTGCATATCGAGGTACGAACGTCTGCGATGAGATTGCTAGCCGGAAAATGGTTTCCGCATTGGCCGCCATCAGCCCATGAAGACGAACCGTGTGGAGCAAGATCTACCCATTATCTGCCCATCATCGTCAGGATTAAATGCTGCTCAGGTCTGTCTCGTTTCAAATTTCCTTTTTAATTGAGTTTAGTTTTGTTCTAGCTTTCATTTGATGCTTTCTTGCAGTGGCACAACCAGTTGAATGGATGTAAATGTGCAGAATCGAATGTGGATTTTAATTGACAATAAACAAAGGAAATTGAACCGAAACAGCAGCGCAATCAAAAGAAACGACTTAAACGATTGATAAATCTAGCAAACAATAGTTCAAACCTTAAAGGAATATATTCCTGGCAAAGTGCATTAAAAAAACAATTTAGAAAGCAAGCAAATGCTCCACGTTCTATTAATTATCTATTTACACCTTTGCCATGTGTCAGATATTATCTCTGTACACTTCTTAAAGCTTTTTAAGCTTGATAAGCATCAGTGGTATGATCTTGATTACTTTGTGAGCTTCAATTTATATTTCTCTCTGCCTTCAGGCAGGCTTCTGGGTAGCTTCTATGGCTTTACTCTAGTATATTTTGCACTGCTTGCACTGCTTAGTGTAAGCCTTGCAGCTTGCAGCAGTTGTATGTGCATATGTGTATGTACATTTCTTTCCATAATTCCTTCCAGTCTGGAACAGAGCCCAAATAAATTGATTTCTAAGTACTTTATCGAAGAGCTCTACAAAAGCGAAAAAACTGTTAACAGTTACAGCTGATTTCAGAGCAGATTGTACCAAAAATGCCAAGAATTTCCCATAAAGAAATTGTGCAATTAACAGCCAAGAGCCAAGAGCAGCTACAACTGGCTTAGCTTGCCAGTAAACCAAATAAAATGTATTGGAAGCCCAAAGGAAACGCCCTTCCTCTTTCCCTGCCACTCGTAATGTATAAATTCTTTTGTTTAAGCATATTTTGTTCATTTTTTATTTTGCATTTAGCAACAGGCAAAAAAAAAAAAGAATTTCTTTAAATTAAACAGCAGCTGCTGCAGGAGCTGGCTCTGAGCTCTAAGCTGGCTTAGTAGCTGGCCTGGCCATAGGGGGAGGGGCTGTTGTAGATGGGTGACTCGTTGGGGCTGCCATAGCCATCGTTGGAGGAGGCAGCACCGGCAGCGGAGGCGGCACCAGAGCCACCGTATGACTGCTGCTGGCTACCGTATGACTGAGGCTGTCCATAGACGGGTGCGACGACGGGGGCCAGTGGTGCCTCGATCTTCTTGCCCGGCTTGTAGACCTTCACGTACACAGGGTTGAGGCTCAGCGGGGTGGGCACCTTGTTGATCACCTCCTGCTGGTAGATCACGGAAGGCTTGATCTTGTAGATGACGGGATTGCCACGCACCACGGTCGGTGGGCCGCTGTTGACATGTGCTGGCGGTGCACCTGGCTGGTGCACAATGATTGGGGGCAGGGGCTGGGTGGCGATCACCTGATGGTTGTTGTGGCCCGAAGGCACCAACAGCGAACGGAACAGATGCTGGTCCACGAACTGGGGCGAGACAACATTGATCTTGCCCTGGCGGATGTTGCTGGCGAGATTCGTTTCGGCCAGCGACTCGGCAATATCCTCAGAGTTCTTCAGCTTCTGGTAGGTGGGATTGGCGTTCAGAGCCTGCAGCTGGGCCTGCACACGACCCAGGCGACGTGCCTCCTCCTGTGTGGGCTGGATCTCGGCCTGGGCCGCGATCTGGTTGGCCGCTGGCTGCGAGCCGCGCGTCGCCACGTTCACGTACTCCTCGAGGCCACCGGAGGGGCCACTGGGCAGATACTGAATGGGTCCATGGCCGGGACCACCACCTCCACCTTGACCATAATTAGCGCTTACCAGCTGCACAGAGAGAGGCACAAAAAGAAGCGATGGATGGGCTTGGGTTAGCTTTGAGAATGTAACGAATTGGCGTAGGTGTCGTCGGTCTGGGACGGGGTCTTACCGGTGCCGCAGCGATGGCGAAAATGCCAAACCAAAGTCCGAGTTGCATGTTGCGGGGTTACGTGTGTCTTGTCTACTGTTCGGTGTCTGGCCCACGGGCCAGCTCTTTATAGCGCCTATAATCGCCCTTCGTCATGGTCGGCTACGTGATCTTTACCAGCGATTTCCATTTCCGATTTTGGCTCACCTTTTGTCTCGACAATGCAACACCAACGCCCAGAAATCCATCAAGAACAGCCAGCAGTCAACCTCCCAACCTCAATTCAAATCAAATCTGTTCCGATCTCTGACTCTCTCTGTCGTTTGTCGCTGCAATCTCATCGCTGTGCTGTCATTGGATATTGGATGGATGCTTCTTTGTGGTTTGCCCATGCCCAATGGATCTGCACGATCTCTAGTCCAATCTTTGACGAAGCAAATTGCAGCTCAAGTTGACTGTTTCTCTGCCTCAACTGGATGGGCTTCTTGTAGTGCCAATTTGAGGTTGCACATTTAAGTTTCAGCTGAAAGATTTCTTAGTGGGTTTTTTCTAGCTGGCTGGGCGAGTTTTTCGCTTAATTTTGTATTACTGAAACGAACTTTAATGGTTGACTCAATTTAAAATACCAAAATTCTAGTTGGAAAGACTCGAAAGAACGTCTTACAGCAGCTCAAAGATCGAAATAAATAATTAAGTGCAGTCCAAGAGTAATGCCACGCTCTGTGCTTAGTGCAACTATATCGTAAAACCAATTTATATCTTCTTTTTATCCAAAGTTCTTACGAATCTGCAATCGCTTTCTCTTTCCTTTTAGGTATTTAGTATTCTGTAATATATTCAGTATCTACCGATGAAAACAGCTGTGGATGTTGGTCCTCTTCTGGTTGTATACACATACATACCAACATACATACGTATATTTTTATGCCGCAATCGAAAGATCAAAGTTTTATGTACCAGGAGCGCCCTTAATCATAATCACACGAGTATCTGTGGCTTATTTCACTTTATTTTGTACTTTCCCCTAAATGTTTGTGTAATATATTTTTGGCTGGCCAACTGCCAGGCCAGGCCTTAGGTCTAAACTACTCCTAGAGTCCCCGCCTGTACAGGAGGTAGGTGAGATCGCGTGTGGGTCGACTGCCGTAGTCGTTGAAGGGCGACTTGAATGGCAGTTGGCTACCAAAAGTGTCCGACTCATCCTCATCGGCGGATCGTCCCACGCCACCAGCCGCTTGAATGCCGGACGCTGATGTGGCAGCTCCACCTGGACTCGATTGAGCAGCATGCAGCTGATCCTCGCTAGAGTTGATAATGGTGCGAATAGGTGGGCGGTGGTTGATGTAGTGCACCTGTTGCTGTTGCTGCTGTTTGTGTGTGTGTGGTCTTTGGTATATTTGGTGTGCGTGTGGCTGTAGCTGGTGTGTGTGTGTGTGTGCGTGTGTGTGTGTGTGTTCTTGTTGCTGTAAATGTGTGTGTGCTCTGGGTGTGTAGTGTTGTGAATGTTGCTGTGTGTAACCGTATCTCTGCTGCTGCTGCTTCTGCTGCTGGATCAGATATCGCTGCTTCATGGCCAAGGCCTCACCCTCGAGACTAGGCTGCTGCTGCCTGTGTGGATTCCGTGGCATATAGCGAGCTCTTTGCTGCTGCTGCTGCTGGGGTCCTGGTCGCTCTGCACCTGGCAGATACTCATGGTGCACCTCCTCGTGTATGCCATTCTGGGTCTGATTGATCAGACGATTGTACTCCTCATTGGTGCCGCCCACCTGCAGGTGAATGGCATGCTTGAAGTCCTCCCCAAGATGCTTCATCCAGAAGTTGTCATCCACCTCTCCCGTGGTATAGATGCGCGTGGTCTGGCCGCTTTTGGGCTTGCCCACCACCGCATTGGTGGACGCCAGCACATCAATCACATCGTACTCCTGCTTCGACGCCAAACCACTGCCCAAAGGCGGCGGCAGTTGCTCCACGCGGGCGGCCTTCCGCAAATCTCCAGTCAGCAGGCGATCTGTGGTCTCTGGTATCGACGGACTGGGACTGGTCGCTTCATAGTCATCTCTATCCTCACTGGCCGTCGTATCGTTGATATTCTCACGCTAAATGGGCATAAAATTAGTTTGATTCGTGGCTTGTGGGAACGCGGGAGACTCACCTCTGACCGGACTCGGCTTAGGGCCAGCATCAGCAGCAAGAGCAGCAGTGGCCAACTGCAGTTGGATTTGTCAGACATTTCGTTGCAGCTCGCATTTAACTGAAGCCGGTGCCGTCAATGGAATCCACTTAAATAGCCAACACAAATTGTCAGTGCCACTGCGTGAGCTGTTGCCATCAGTGCGCTCATGTTACGAGCCAACAAGAAGAAAAAAAAAACGGAAGAAAAACGTTTCGGGACGTGATCTATGGGCAGATACTCAGATGTACTCAGATGTGTATCATCAACGAATCTCTTGTGATCTTGGTGCGTCAGGCGGCCAGAGATCGTACGAGTCAGTCAGTGAATACAAGTCACACCCCAGGGCCATTGCAAATTGTTTTTACTGAATGATTTAGTCAGTTACGCCCCTCTCTTCCTCTCTCTATCCATCACTGATTTCAGCATGTACTTAAGAATGATTCGATTCTTGTTGCTTGCATGTTCATATGTTTTTATATACATACTTATGTATGTATTTACATGTGTAAGTATGCATAGTAGCCAAAGGAATACGCAAAATGTGCTGAAGATTGTATATGTGACCAGTGTTGTAAACTGCATTCCGCACTGTTACACTTCTCAGGCAGCTGTGCTGTTTTGTTTACTTTGTGCACATTTGTGTGAAAAGGAATGAATACAAAATGGAACCAAGCATGCATTTATGTATTTATTTGGCTTAAGAATCTACTGGCTTAAATGTTCCAACAGTTTGTGCCAGCGGCAGCACTTTGAAATGCAAAATTTGTAATTATCGCTCTTCTTCTGCTCTGCAACTGAGTTGACTTTATGTCTTTGCTCCTTGACAAGCCATTCTCCGCTTCTCTTTTAATTATTGCCATTCTAAACACATTAAATATTAGAAAAGCTAAGCGAATATTTAGTTTAAATGCCATTATATTTCCAGAGATTTTTGCATTTTTGTAGGCATACTTTTGGGGTAAATGTTTTTAGCAACAGAAATTTCGTGGATTGAAAATTGAATATTGAACCTGAACCTGCAACGCACCCCAACCCTTGAAAATCAAATCAAGCGTGTCCAAGCATTTAAAACAAAAGCAAATAATTTTATTAAACTCTTAATTGGAGCAAAGAAAACGCAGAAAAACGTTGAGCTGCAGACAGACAAAGGCAGACAAAGAAACGTAGACAGAAATTGTTGTGTAGGACAGAGACAGAGATAGAGAGAGAGGAAAGGGATAGGAAATCTAGTTACAGTTATGTATATGCAAGACCCCCCACCCCACAGAGTGCTGCTCCACTGGCCTACATTCGGAAGCAACAATTATCCGACCTCAGCATATTGATTGGGTGCGGTTCACGTTGGGTTCGGATTTTGGTTTGGGTTTTGGGTTTACTTTGGGGTTTTGGGTGTCTCTTCAGTAGCCGTAGCCCTCATCGTGGTTGCAGCTGCAAAGAGAAGAAGAACAAATAAAATGAAAGCGGAAAGTGAATGAAAAAGAAACGGCAACATCATTTTCAGTTTATTATATTCATTTTGTTGTTGTTGTTGTGGGGGTGTTGGGGTGGGGGAACTTGCTTCTTAGGGAACTACAAATGTAAATTAGACATAAGCTAAAGATCACTCTCTGGGACTTGCGGGGGAGGGTACCAGAGCCTAGAACCAGGCTCGCAGATACTCAGAAATGGGTGGCACGTTGTAGGTGTCAACGCTGTAGCCATTCTGGACATGACTATTGTAGCCATAGGTCTTGGCCGGCGCCGTGGAGTAATCTGCGTGTATGGCATGCTCCGGTTCGGTGGTTGACTCGAAGCCCCAGCCGCCGAGGCGTCCGTCGATGAGCTTCTTGAGGAAGTCCGTTGTTTGGCGCTTCTGATTGGGCTCCGGGTAGTGTGTGCTCGACTCCATATAATGTGGATGCGGATAGACAATCTCCGAGATGAGTCTGTTCAGTTGTGAGTCGGAGACATGCTCCACGGGATAGCCACCGCCAAAGTTCTGCAGCGGAGATGCATACCCACGCCGCGTCACCGACTCCAAGTCTCCGGCAAACTGCAGCGGTGTGGAGCCCCGCTCCAGCGGATCTGGCACCGACGTCGTCGACAGCAGACTGCGTAGCTGCGAGTCATCCACGTACTTGAAGTCATCCTGTGGCAGACCCAACGGTGAGGGTATCTGTAGCGGATAGTAACCAAACGCAGAGCGCTTGGATGGTATGTTGTTCTGCTCTTCCATTGGCATTGCCATGGGCAGTTCTGTTTGATCTTCAGCCGCTTCGGTAGCAGGAGTTGGTGGTGCAGGAGGAGGTGGACCAACTGCCGTCACAGCACCACAACCCATGTGACACTGACCCGGCTGGAAGTTGGGATTGAGCGTCTCCGGCATAAACTGTATTATCTCCGGCGCCGTCAAGTCAATCTGGGCACGTTCCCGCTCCAGCAGATCGAACTCTCCTTTGATATCACGCTTGCGCAGTCGCCTGCCCAAACCCAACCAGCCGCCAGCTGGAGTTTTCTTGGTCTTTCGCTTCGTTTTGGAACTCGAGGCTTGCTCCTCCGCCTGCCGCAGCCCAAAGAGTTTCTGTTTCTGCTGCTGCTGGGCAGTCAAATCCTTGTGATAGAGCTTGACATAGCGCTGTGGACGCTCCTGCAGCTGTTGCTGGCGCATTAGCCGCCTGCGAATCAAAGAGCCAGGCGTGCGCAGCTCACGACGACGACGTATGGCATTGGGAGACCTTTGGCCTGTGGCTACTACATACCTTGGCTTGGGGCTGGAGCAGCTGGTGCAACTGCAGCTGGACGTATGCTTGGCAGCACAATCTGTGCAACGGGGTAAACATTTTTAGAATATCTCCTTAAAGGCGGCTGCTGTCAACTCACCTCCTTTGTTGACCGTCACCCGATCCACTTTGGCGTAGAGCTTCGATTCCGGATACTTCGGCGGCGGCGGTGTCCGTGGCTGTTCGACGGTGAAGTCGAAGCTGTAGCTAATCTTTGCCTTGGTTTGCACCGGCTTTTCCACACGGTAGCCGTACTCGCTGGCTCCGTACTTCTTTGGCTTGGGCGGATTGGGCACATTCAGCTGATAGCCCAGCTGGGTGGGACAGGCGCAGCTCTCGCCCGTATAGACAACCTCAACAGGAGCAGCCTGCACAAAGGCTACGGCCAGCGCCAGCACCAGGGCCAGGCCCAGCAGGGTTATCAGTTGGCGCATAATTTTCTCTTTGATTTGGATCGGTTCGGATCGCTGTCTGCTTTCGTGTCTGCCTTTGTGGCTACTACTAGCCGCAGCTTCAATTGTCGCATTCTTTATATGGAATCATTGCATCCACTGTTGCAATCTCTCACGCAGCCGCCGGCCACCGGTCACCGGCCACGTCTCTGGGCTTGAGGTTGGGCGACTAAAAACAAATACACCGTGCCGTGCCGTGCAGCTCGTTGAACTTGAACTTAAGCAAGGTTTTCTCTCCATATGCTCTGCTCTCTCCCCGATCGTGTGTGTTTGGTTTTTGTTGGTGTATTGCTGACCTTTTCAAATACCTCTTCATTGGCTTTGCTCATGGTTTCCACCAAAAGTCATGTTCCCCGCTTTTCGATGCTTCTTTCGGCGTCTTTCAGCGTTTAAATTGGCCAAATCCAAATGTTTAACGAAATGCATTTGATCGTTTGGCTGCCACACATTCCAGGTGTGCCATAAACTGTTTTGTTTGCACAAAATTATCCGAGGAAAAAGTACTTACATCGCGAGTAATCGTAAATCAAGGAATTTCCAGTTTTCCAGTCATCAGTTCGTGCGGGAAGTCGGAGTGCGGTCCGAAAATATATCGAGTGCAACAATTGAGTAAATTCATCTGAGATTCCCTGAAATTGTAACAAGAGTGAACCGTTTTTTTTTTTTAATTGCTGTGAGTTTTAATTAATTAATTTAAAAGATTTCGCATGTTTATGAACGTGCAGAAGCTCATTAATTTTGCGGCAGTTACATACATACACAAAACATACATGTATGTACATATGTATACAATCTCTGGATTTTGTTTACATTGCAATGTGCACTACAGAGAAGAAATTGTTTATTTTGGGCAGCCTCTTCGCTGGAAACTGACACCAGAGATCGATCCGCCCTCCATGCGGATTGTCTTGCCTTCCTGGACGTTGCCTTTCGATCGTTTGTTTTGGTCTGTGGCACGGCTACGCTTGAGAAGCGAAGAGGCAGTGCAGTGTTGACTAACGTTAGGGACCAGCCCAGCCAATTTGCGAATTTTTCGCGGAAGTTTGGCCCTTGTGTCGTAGCCCTCATCCACTGCATGAAGATTCTTGCTGCTCTTGAGGCACAGTGGGTTTCCCACTCTTCCGCAGCGCAGTCCACAGATTAAGCTGCTTTTTAGCTGCAGATTAAACAGCTGTTATGACACAGGCAGTTTGATCTTTTCAGTTTGGCGCCGTTTCTCCTTCTGTCTTCCTCATCCTCGCGTTTTGGCCGTTTTGTTGCTTTAAAAGATGCCTAAGCCGAATAGTCGAAGCTCGTGAAGTTGGTGGTGAGTCGAATTAAAATTGCTTCTTGCCATCAGAACAAAATCTACTCCGGTGTTGACTCTGGAATGTAAAGCAGTCAGCAGATGGCAGCATTCAGTTCGCGCGAGAAGTCAGGTAAGTCGAATTTAAAATGGAGTAAAGCTTCAATATAAACAAATTCCCTAATTTTTACAGGAAAATAAACTTCATAAACTGCGGGTCAGCCATTGCCCCAGGCCTGCCTTCTGTCTTCCAACAAACACGAGTCTATGGCTAAGATACGGAGGCGGATCACAAAGAGTCCTCTACGGAGCCAGGGCTGGCCACAAACTAGCAAATGAAAACCAACTAAATTGTTTGCTTGCATAAATAGTGGAAAGTACATTCTAGTACACAAATGTATTTAAGCTCTAGGACAGCCAAGCAACATCCATTCATTGCTTAACATAAATAAATAATTATTTACAATCGGAAGTGTGAGAGGAGGCAGACAATGCCTAATAGCAGCTGCCAGCATCAGGCTCCTGGCGATTCGCATTGCGGTAGGAGGTAATGCGGCCCGGCTTGAAGCCACAGTCAACGGAAACCTTGCCGGCCACCTTGCCGTAGCCATCGTTGGAGCTCTTGGAGGCGTAGCTGCTGGAGGCATAGCTCGAGCGGGAGCTGGTTATTTTCTTGAATTTGGGATTCTTGTACTGCTCGGTGATGTAGCCCAGCTGCTTGTAGGTCAACTGTGGTGTTGGGTCATCGTCGGAGGACTGCTGTTGCTCCTCCTCCTCGATGTACTCCTCCTCCTCTTCCTGCTTGGCCACATAGTTGGGCTTCTTCAGGGTGATGACCTCGCTCTTCAGCTTGAACAGATTCTCCTCGGGCACATTGGAGAAGTGAACCTTTTGCACACCATCCACAGGCTTCTGGGCGAATCCAAAGGCCAGCTTAGCCTCGGGCACATTGATGGCCTTACCAGCCTGGGCTGCCAAACTCACACTAATGGGATCTGCGGCCGGACTGTTATCTTCCGTCTTCTCCGCCGAATAGGCAATGCTGTGAACGAAGCAGTTGATTATGGACTCCATGATGGAAATTGATCCACTTACTTGCCATAGCTGGAACTGGAGCTGGAGCTGCTGCTGTAGCTATCGGTGCTTTGTTGGCATGAGCAGGTGGGCTTGCATGGTGTCGTCTGTGTGTAAATGATTGAGAGTTTTGGGAGGGTATCGTTATAAGGTATCGAATTTGGTTTCTATCACTTCAGTTTGCTGTTGCTCGGAAGCACGTACGGAGCGATAATGATGACGGCGAAGAGCATAATGATGGTGAAGTTTACGATGATGAGGCATAGCTGAAGCACTGGTTAGTATTCCAACCCACGACTCACTCGCGCGGCTCTCTGATAAAATATATTCGATGCGGAAACACTAAAGGTATGTACTTGAGGATGATGATGTTGATGTTGCTCATGTTGATGATGGATGTGGGCGCACTGGTTGCATTTATCATTTAGTTACTGGTTCTAGGACTTATTCTAAGACTTAAACTAGAATGGGTGGTTAGTCATGGAGTTAGATTTGATATTGATAGCCGGATGGACGCCTCTTGTAGCAATCGATATGCTCCAGACGCTGCAGACGCTCGGCCAGACGGCGAGCCGCCAGTGTTTTGGCTTCGAGTGCACCCTCGAGCATACGGCGGCCCAAGAGGTTGTTGAAGGCATGCACATATTGAAAGATATCACGTACTTTTCCGCAGGTCTTTGGCAGTTGGGCGGGCTCAATCAGCTGCTTGCTGCACCAGCAATTGTCACCGATCGGCGAGAGATTTACATCACTGGGCTCATAGTAGCGGGGCTTGGGACGCACAACTGTCGGTCCCTGGCAGCTTTGGCAATAGTCGGTACCCTTCTCCGAGCACACACAGGCAGCCAGCAACTGTAATAACCGAAATCAAACACATTTAGCATTCATTGCAAAAAAAAAACCCTAGAATTTCGTCAACAGTGTTGGCGCTCAGCGTCACAATAGTCGTCTCACTTGCACACGCACAATTAGTCCCGGTAACGGTCCCGTTCAAAACAAATAGCTCGTGCTCGCTCTTTCCTTCGTTATGCTTACCACTTGAGTGCAGTGCATTGCCAGCAGCAATGAGATAAACAGTTTACAGGCTTGCATCTTGACTTCTTGGCTTGGTTCTTATCGGTCGCGTGCCGCTCGGTGCTCGTTAAAAGTTTGAACTGCTTATGGAGGCGGTCCACACGTTTTATATACCCCAGAAGATTGAGAAACGCTGCTTAGGTTCTTGTCATTGCAATTGCTCTCAGAACATGCATTAGTTTCGTTGTTTTTGTTGTTGTGACCGTTTCTCTCTCAATTCGGGCTAAATGAAATCTTGGCCATTCATGGTTAAGGTTCAATGCAGCATCTCACATGGTCCAAGCACAACGCTTTCTCGCTTTGAGTTTGTCTGGCCCACCAGGGTCAGGCTCAGATTCGGGCGCTGTTTGCTGATGCTGCAGCAGCAGCCACGCCGTCCGCCATCGCCAAACTCACCGCCACCGCCGCTGCTTTCATCCAGTAGGTACGTGCTCCCCCGAATTGGGTAGCGCCCAACCTGATATTGATACAAAGCAAAATCACCATAAACAAACGAATCTAGTGAATTCCATAGAATTTCATATCGCCACCAAGTCGCCAGCGACAAATATTAACAATGAAGTTGCGACAAAGTCGAAATGCCATTCGAATTATTGTACATATACATATTTGTTGCGATTAGCTGTAGCTGCGTGTTCCCAATCCATAAATTGGGCCAGCGTCATCTCGCGAATTGACCCCTGGGAGCAGACGCTAAAGAAACGGAATTAGGCCGTTAACCTAATTTCTGGATTGTTATTGTTTTCGGATTTTAACATTGTCTGTGCGAATGTGGGTGTGTGCGTGCATATCGAAACAATCTGGTGCACATTATTTGCAATCTAATTCACAATCCACGTCTTTGGGCGGCATCTTGGTGCATGTTAACTGATGTAACAAGTAATTAATTTACGATCGCACTTGCATTTGTTTAGAATTGCATACATACACACACACACATGTGTAAGCACACACATACTTACATGCACACATGTGTTACCGATTCATTATGCAATCGAAGATCGATGACTGAAAGCGATAACATAAATAACTGCTTGTGCATGCATAATGTAATTATTCTGATAGAAAAATTAATCTCCCACTTGATTTAACCTCTGATTGAGTTATGCCCGTGGCCTTGACTAGCTGCCGTATCAAACATCAAAAACCGGGTTCAGTCGCCTCCGCCCCCCCACTTTCACATTGCCGAATCAAAGACGAAAATAGTCCGGCGATCAGCAGTTGGATTCATGCCAAGAAGGATGCCAGAGGTCAGCTGTCTGGATTGCGTTGCCGAAAAAACTGCCGGTTAATGGGCAATTTACAGGTTAATGGCACGGCAACACGCCGAAGCTGTAGCTGGCAGCCCGGACAGAAAAGTCTTATCAGGAAATGTTATGGCAAATAAGCGCTGAGCTGGCGTACCCACACGATCCAGGCTTGCCATAGATGAACACAAATCTTCAGTAAATAATATTTATATATGTATGTGTGTTTCCCACCTAGTTCATTGGAAGTGAACAGCTTATCTTCCCGAACAGAGTCCAGCTGTTTGAGCCGAGAACTGCTTCCCATTCAGTACAGTTGTACAGCCGCAAGTGAACGCAAGTAGACAATTTTTGGTGCTCTTCTTCCACACGAAGTCCGGGAATCCTGCTCAGAGTCCTCATCCAACTAAATATGGCAGCAAAAAGAATGGATCTAAATATGCGCACCTTCCTGGTGCTGAGTGGCAGCTCAAACCCTTTGGGTCAGACACTGGCCCTGCAGCTATGCAGTCGTTTGGCACCCGGATCGGTTGCCCTCATCCTGGACGATGATAAGGATAAACTTTCTGCCTTGGAGCAGCTGCTCAGGGATCAGCTGAAGCCGGATAAGGTGAAGCTGAGGACTGGCAAGCTGGATGAGCAGCACTCCAATGGTGTGGAGCTGATGGAGCAGGCCCTGCAGCAAGCATCCTCCGGCAGTTTCGAGCGTTCCATCATTGTGCACAACGAGGGATTGGCCGCCACCGAAGTGCTGATGGAGCCACAGTTGTCGCAGGACTGGACCGCCTATGTCCAGCAGCAGTTGTATGCCCCAGTGGCCCTGAATCAGCGCTGGCTGCACTGCAAGCAATTGACTGACGTGCAGAAGCTGGCCATCAATGTGACCTCGTCGCTGCTGGTGCGTCCGCTGATCCACGGTGGTCTGCTCTGCTCCTGCAAGCGTGCCAGGGACATGTACTTCCGTGCCATGGCCTCTGAGGAGTCTCGCCACAATGTCCATGTGCTCAGCTATGCCCCCGGCCTGCTCGACTCCCATCAGACTCAGTGCGATATCAACGGCAATGTGATTACCCCGGAGTCCCTGGTAGCATCGCCACAGATCCAGCAATTGCCACGTGTCCAGCCGCTGCAGGCCACACTCAAGCTGATCAACATTCTGGAGGAGATCTCCTTCGTTTCCGGTCACGATGTCGACTACTACGACACATTCGTTTTATGAGTAGAAACCTGGCGGTGGACTGTGTCCCTGATGGACTCGTTTCTAACCATATTGAACGACTTGGATGCTGCTTTTGATTTAATTGATTTGGACATGAATAAACTGCTGCTGGCCCCGGTACTGGAGGTGGAGGTGAAGGTGGAGAAGAGCGAGAAACTCAGAAAGGAAACTGAGAGAAAAAAGCTAAAATGATTTTTTTATTTCCGGGTAGGGAAAAGGGAAAGGAAAGTTTGTGCATGATGATTATGATAAAGTATGAGCTGCAGAGATGATTGTCCGTTAGGATTGAAAGATAATTAATCCTTTAAGCAGAAGCATTAAGTTCAAATAAGTTTGGGTAGATCCCCGGTAGAACCCCCTTCAAGACAAGCTAAATTTCAGTTGAATCGAAAAAGCCCCCTGGGAAGATCCCCAACGTACATAAGCCGGTATCTTCCTTACGCTCGCCTGTTCCGTTTATGAATCAGCGTTGAAGTCTAAACATATATAATAGGTCCACTTCCAGACATTACCAGTCAAAATCACTGATAAGTGTACATATGTGGGGTGCGCCAGGGCAGGCACGAGATCAGCATACTGTTGCCGGGTGGGTCCCACATCAATCTTGATAAGAGAGCGGATTCATATGGGACTCGCAGCTTGTGGGCATGGGAGCTGCAAATACTTTTCACGCTTGCCCCCACATCTCTTTGCCAATACTTATAGGAAGTCTAGTCGCAGAAACGTAATGGCTAGGCTGTTAATATACATATTCCTCGTTCCACTCTTCAAGGCATACTTTGGGACATAGAAATTAATGAATTCATTAGAAGTTGAAAGCATACACAATATGACTGTAAACTGCTTCTTGGCTTCTTGCACTATTCCTCAATTTTGATATTCGATTTGATATTGCAAACTAGTTAGAACTATCAGCTATGCATATATAATTTATTTCGGAAAATGAATCAATTTGCCACAAGATGACTAATTTGAAAGACTCCCAATTGTTTAATTATCCTAGAAAATAAGGTTTAAACAGCTGCAGCTGCTGCTGGGACCTGTGTAAAGAATTTGTTTTCTAACTGTTTTACAGCACTGCTTGCCTGCTTGCTGGTACTGCTTTGCAATTATCAAAGCACAATCTGGAAAATATCGATAACGACACACAGATACTTTAAGCCGGACAACTGTTGCCTGCCTGCCGCTTGTATTTGGGAAATTAGAAAGTCAAGTCCCAGCATGGATCTGAAGCAAAAAACATATCTTCTGGTGACTGGGGCATCGCGTGGCATTGGTCGCGAGTTTGCCCAGCAGCTGTCGCAGCGCATTGAAGCCTTGGGATCGGTGGTTGTGCTGCTGGGACGCAGCCAGCCGCTGCTCGAGGAGACAAAGGGCACAATTTTGAAGCAAAATCCAGAACTGTCGGTGCACACTTACGCGCTGGACTTGGCCACAGCCAGGTCTGAAGATTTTGCACGCATCCTTAAGTACTCGCAGGTTTCTTCGGCTGACTTCCAGCGGGCCATTGTCATTCACAATGCCGGCACTGTGGGCGACACATCGAAGCGTGCTCGAGAGATTGGCGACACGGAGTATCTGCAGGAGTACTACCACACCAATGTCTTCTCCGCCATTGCCCTCAACTGCGAGTTCATGCGCACATTTGCTGGCATTCCCAAGCTGGTCGTGAACCTGAGCACCCTGGCGGCCATAGCACCAATCTCCTCGATGGCCCACTATTGCACCGTGAAGGCGGCCAGGGAGATGTACTTCCGTGTGTTGGCCACCGAGGAGCCAGCACCGGACACGCTGGTGCTCAACTATGCGCCCGGCATGATTGACACCCAAATGACGGAGCAGGTGCAGCGCGAGGCTCATGATCCCGCCGTGGTGGCCATGTTCCGCGAACAGCGCGAGTCCAAGACAATGCTGACAACGGCACAGACAACGCAGCGTTTCCTCCAGGTGCTCGCAGCACAACGCTTCCAGTCTGGCGACCATGTCGACTACAGGGATCCAGTGGAGCCCTAGATGGCAGTCACACTTTACACTTTGTTTTTTATATATTTTTGTATATTAAAATGTAAACGCAACTAATAAATTAATTGTTCGACAGCTAAAAGAAATCCGCTGCTGCACTGCGTGGCTTTATGGGTATCTTGAGCAGATCGTCTGTGATTGTGGAGCCCGTATCGATGATGGTGTTGCTGGTTGGCGTTGTGATTCTCCTCGGCTTGCCCAGCGGCGTTGTGCTCTTCACCAGACCGGGCGTGATCTTTCGCTTTCTGGCCGCCTGGCCCGGCGTTGGTGTGCGTCGTAGACTGGGCGTGCCGCGCAGCCCCAGCTTGGCAGTGGCCAGATGCTGCGCGGCTGGGGACATGCTGGCCAGACGCTCCATGTTCGTGCGTATCAGCGGTGAGCTGATGTTGCGTCGCGCAGTGTCGAGTGCCACTTGCTTCTGGTTGCGCATCTTCTCGCTGACCCTCTCGGCCAGGGCTATGGCAATGTTCTCGCGGCGAGAGTTCTCGTTGATGCGGAACGAGGGTCCCTGGGTGGGACGCAGCGGAGTGTCACCGCCGTCCAGGCGGAAGGGCGTGCCATCTATCTCGCCCCATGTCATGATGGGGGAGAAGGCCACACCGGGATGCGGTGAGGGAGATCGCAGCAGCGAGAAGCCGCGTATGCGTGGTGGCTCCGTGGAATTGGTTTCACCATCCGCAACCTTTTTACTCTCCACCTCACGCTGGTTGCTCAGACTCTCTGGCAGCCGGGTGGCCTCGTGCTGGATGCTCATGCGACGTTCCGCTGCCTGCACACGCTCCTCCTCGGTCAACTCAACGCCATCCGGCACATACATCACAGAGTTCATGTTGGTGTACTTCCAGGTCTCGATCTTCCTCAGTGGATCGGGCTCCTCGAACTGCTTCTCGATGCTGGGCAGCATGAGGGCACGCGCCAGCTGATCCGCGGACAGCTGCTCGTGATTGTAGAGCAGGGCGTACTTTTGACGCAGCTTCTCCTCGGCCGTCTCAATGATTTCCTGGAAGCTCTGATTGTCCTCGCTCGTGTAGCTCTGCAGGAAGGCATCCAGCGACATTTTGGACGACAATGAACTGCCCTCGGCCGAGCTGCGCGCGCTACTGCTGCTGGTGGTGGAGCACGGTGTGTCCGCACGTTGGAGAGGCGTATTGCTGCGGCTTCCCTGGCTTGCGGGCGTCTCAAAGGTGGCCGGGGACATGGCTAACGAAAGGGAAACACAGAGGAGTGATAGGGAAACTTCTTTAAGCGGCGACTCACCATTGTTGTTCCGGTTGTTGCGCCTCCCGTTCCGGTTGCCCATCCTTGGAGTCCGACCCAGACTGTACCGTGCCCGTATCTCCGCCATTTGCAGAAAGTCACGACGCGCCTCGGCCTCTAGGTAATCATTCTGTGCCCGCAACTTCTCCAAGTCCGGAAAGAAGTCGCGCTGTATGATTTTCGACATCTCTTCTATGTACTGCTCTTCGCTGAGGATTTTCGGTTTGTTTTTGCGTCGCACGAGATCTGTGGGCTTCTTGAAATCAGCCAGAGCCGTGTTCTGGGCCTTGACCATCTCCATGGCCAGGCTGCCGGGTGTTCCAGGTGTACCTGGCGTGGCAGACATTGTTGCAAAAGTCGACACACAGTTTATTTATGCAGATATAGCGATTTTTTTGTAAATTTTACTGGTACCAGTGAAACCACCAGTGTGACCGTCGATTTAATGATAAAATATACCGCCTGACACTAAAAAAATATACCGAAATATACCTTCTTATTTTCACAATATACCGCAAATGTGTGAGTGTCCATGATCAGAAAAGCAATTCCTCAATTCCGATGTCCGTCACAAAGCTGACAGTTTGGAAGTACAGATAAAATCGGTTTTGAGGGCTGAAAAATAACAATGCGTGCATTCGAATTCATTATTTTGTCCTACAAGCACACATACTCCTGCAGCAGCTATGTGGGGTACGCAACCGCAGAGTCAACAGTGACGTTCCGCGATCGGGAAAGGCTGACATATCGATAGGCATTCAACATTTGCGCGCGGCAAAATTTTAAATGTGCAGCCATATCAAATCAATTGATAGTGATTCGTAAGTGCCTGCGTGCGTGTGTTCCACTAGCCCCCCTCCTCGGACCATTTCTTACCTCTATCATACATGGTTACGAATCATGTCGAATGTGCTATCTTATCGCGGCACCCGCAAGCTCCAACCGCGCCCCAATGCCAAGCCAGCCAACGGACTCACCACTCAGTCCATTTTCAGCTTTACTCCGTGTCGCTACTCGATCTCCCCACCTTCCTTCAGTTAACTCGTTCAGTTTAAAGTCTGCAATTAGATATCAAAAATGAAGTTATATTTGTTGTTGATTGCCTCCCTGTGTTTTCTGACCTACATCAGTTGTGGTAAATCTTTTTGACCGTTTATTCTACTTTCCCCGATTTTATATCGCATTGGGTACATTTTTACTTATTTTTTGTTGGTTCAAATTACAAGTGCATTATATAAGAAATTGTGATAAGCGTCGACGGCGGGTAAAAAGAAAAAAAAAAAAACACACACACACAGACATAACAAATCGAAATCCAGCCAAAAGGCAGCGTATCTTATCAATCGCCTACACCCGAGTTGAGTCCATGGTAACTGTTTTCACATATCCCCCAGTGCTGTAAGTCGCCGGCACCCAAGAGTATTTTTCACATACCATACATATGTATGTACCATACATACATACATATGTGTGCATGTACAAGCAGTGCATGAAATATGGTGAAATGGCTTTTCTGTTGTTATTTTATTCGTGTTGCACTGCAAAAAAATAAAAACATATGTAGATGCGCACACATTTGCTACTTCGAAATGAATTGTATATTCTGTTTAATCAAATACTAAAACAATACAAAGAAATTGCACTGAGGAGCAAACGCTTTTCGTTTGACGCTTTACGCTTCACAATTCTCTTTTAGGCTATCCTTCGCCTATGAAATGCCTCGGCCAGCGGTAAAGTCTTTGGCGCGGCACAGTGGGGACTCAGCAATCAAAGTAGAACAATGATTCAGTTTGCAAAAACTGTATTGAACTCTCATCCACTTATTGATTTAGCAAGCTGAATCGGCCCACTGTTCGAGAGTCGCGACTTCTACCTGCCGTCAATGACAAACCCTTTGCGCAGCTGGTCTCGCTCAGAGACGAAGCATAGGCGAAAAGAGAATTGAGAGAATCTAACACCAAGGCCGCGCCATAGTCGGCATTCGGCAGATCCTACAGATATTGAGCAAACTTAATTCAATAGTTAAATGAAGAGCTGGAAAGTTTCTGCGTAAATGTGCTGCACGCATTCCATGCCATCTCTTATCTCTTCCATATTCCAGTTCCACGTGAGACAAACTTCAAGCGAAAGCTAAGCAAGTGCAGTTCCAAATAGTTTCCAAATGTGTGTCCGCTTTTGTGTATTTACTTGGCTAATCGGACTGTGGAGACATACAGAAGTGTGAGAGTGTGTGCGTGTTGACTCATTTTCGGTTTTCTGGTTTATGTACACGCTTGGTCGATAAGAATCGATGGGTATGGGCGCGAAAACGAGATAAGAACTACTGTAGCTCCAAGGGAAAGTGCGTGCCATGAGCATAGGGCAAGGGCGGATGCGAAAGCGCTGAAAGTCAAGCCATAGCAAATGGAACAGGTCCAGTGGCAGGCACTGTACTTGCTTGCTTTTTTATGGTATTTCGAGCATAACTGTTGCTGGATGGGCCGAAGGCTACACACAAAAAAAAAAAACTAATCTAATCTAATCAGGTCTAGCCATGACTCAAAGCAAACGCAACGTTCCCCTCGCTAAATTCGCAGATGGCTGCATCCAGTGCAACTCGAAGACCGAGCCCCGTTGCGCCACCGATCCCCTCAGTCTGTTCACCAAAAACTGCTCCGAGTCCATCGGCGGATCAGAGTGCTTCGTGCGTGTTCTGGGTGAGTATTTTTTTGCACTGGCGTTTTCCCTGCACTGCTTATCGAACTGCTATTCCCAAACCAATCCATAGATGGCGTCACCATTCGCGGCTGTGCCAAAGATCTGACCAACGCCACCAAGGCCGCGTGCAACAATGAGCTGGAGTGCCAGATCTGCACCTACACGGAGGGCTGCAACCGTCAGATGTTCCCCTCGTCGCGTGCCCAGTGCCTCCAGTGCTCGGGCAACTCCACCTCCTCGCCATGTGCCAGTCAGGTGTACGACCACGCCTCCATCTGCCCCATCTACAAGCTGGGCGATCTCTGCTACATTCGCAACAGCAACCGCACCGCTGACGGCTCCTTCCAGCGCGGCTGCCTCAGCACCGCCCAGGCCAACAAGCAGTGCATCAAGGATGGCAACTGCTTCACGTGCACGGGCCGCGGCTGCAACTTCCTGCAGGCCAACGACACACTGATCCCCCTGGCTCGCGACTCCAGTGCCCAGCTGATGCTGTCGATGTCTCTGCTCCTCATGGGCCTTCTCACCGCCTGGATGCTGTAGGTGCCCTCGCCATTGGGGACACTCGTTTGTCCCTGAGAGCACCGAAAGATACATTTTTTCGTGCATTCTATTAGCCATGCATTTTTTTTTTGTAATTCTTTAAAATTCACACTCTGCCTTTGTTTGCTTTCTGAGCCACCACCAAAAACGGAGAGGCGAAAGCAAAAATAAAGATACAAATTGTAATGGAAAAGAGGGGAAACGAAATATTGATCAAACACTTTTGTTTGCTTTCGATTTTATGAGGTGCCAACGGTCGGGACACTTCGGCACTTGACACCCCCAAGCAATGCAGTTGACAGTTCCCGGTCCGCCACTCTTGCCAGCGAACCGGAAGCTCCACGGCAGTGGAGGGGCTGCATAAATGTGTCGACGCCTCCAAAATGTTTGTCAATTAGTTTTCAGTGTCTTTGGGTTTATTTTTTGTTTTATTATTGTTTCTGGGTTCTTCCTGGCTGCCCTTACAAGCTGAACTATGGCCAGCTATACGCAAAATATTGACTTGGATCCTCATCGATGCTCCTCTCGAAGTAGCAACTTGAAACGGATTGATTGCAAATTGGAATGAAAATGTTGAAAATCGTTTGATCTGTCGGAATGTTTGAATTTTGGTGTGGAAACTGATATTTGGTTGGCTTTTGTCTTGTTTCTTGAGATTTGTGGGAGTTTAATGAGATTTGGCAATGGTCTTCTCATTGTTCGTGTCAGTGTCCGAGTCCTCTAGGATCTCGTCCCATGTCTTCGGCTCATTCAGCTCCGAGGACTCCTTTTGCTCCTCAAGCTTGCTCCAGTCGCGAGACTCCTTGCGCACCTCCAGCTTGCTCCAATCCTGAGAGTCCTTCGCCTCCAACTTTGGCTCCAGTCCCAGCGCAGCATCGCTGATGGCCAGCTCATCCTGGCAGGGCAGCTCGTCAGGCGAACTCTGATTGGAATTATTATGCAACATGTCAAATAATTCCACCTTATCGTCTGAGACCTCGGAGTTCACCTCAAGATCTTTCTCATCATCTTTCTCCAGCGACTGATCGTTGGTGCCGTCACTTGCGAGCGCTGGAATGACTGGAGCGGGTGCCGGAACGGGCTCAATGAGGGAGGCCGCCGAAGCGGCTTTGACCAGGCGAAGGTGGTTCAGTCTCGATTTAGAAATGCCGCCCGTCTTCAGCATGTGATCATATGTCTCCGTCATGTGCTCGTGAACGAGCAGACCCTTCAATGCCTTCAGCTCCTCCTCCAGCTCGATTTCGAGCAGGCGCTTCTCGCTGGCGATAACCGGCTGCCAGTACAGCTCCAGCGTGGACATGTGCGTCACACCGATGTCCTCGAGCTTAACGCGGTTCTTGAGAATCATCTTCTTGAATACCAGCCGACTGAAGCCCATGGGCACGCGCAACACTTGCCCGATCTGGAGCTTCAGGTCGCCCGCGGTGCCATAGCGATGCGACTTGTAGAGGGACATCTTGCCATCACGTGTCTGCACACAGACTTGCATTTTGTTGCCTCCTTAACGCTTTCAATTACGAATTTGGACTAGAATTTAATACAACTGAACGCACGTGTGCTGCTGCTGCTGCTGCTGCTATGTGCGGCGTGCGGTAAATGTGACTTTAGACGCCTGGCTAAACGATCAAAGATTAGATGTTGAAATTTACAATGGATGGATGCTCTCCTCAATCCCTGACCTGATCCTTGATGCTTATGTGCGTTTCGGCCACCGATGCTCAAAGCTAAGCACTTGGATTTTTGATCCGAAAACCGGTTTGCTCTTTGCCAAAACGATGCGCAAAACAAAAATGTGACCAGAGGTGTAGACTGCATTCCGCACGGTAGAGGGTAACACTGCTCAGGCCACAGGTTTCTGTTTGTTTATGTTGTGCAAAGTGAATAAAAAGTTAATGAGAACAATGGGAGATTACTCCCAAACTGATTGGCATTGAGTTAGCAGCAGCTAACTGCAGCAACGCAACAAGCTGGATCGTTCAGTCTGCGCTTTTACGAGCATCCAGCCATGAATTGGAATTGTTATTCCAAATACTCGGCCATTTGAATGCCATTTGTTTATGGTTATGCGAACGATTAACAAATAATGCAATAACCATTTCAGTTTCAGTGAGGCATTTGCGCAATTTATGAATTATTTATGGACTCTCCCAATCCAATTCAAATCGCACAAGGCAACGCTCGACCAGAGACCAGGGGCTGGCCACTTAACTCAAAATAATTGTAAACAGTGCGGCAAATGGAAAATGGCCAAGTCCTGGGCGCAACTGGATGTTAAGATTTATGCGATTTATACACACACACACACACACACACACACATATGCGGGAGTAGAGTGGGAAGAGTACGATCTGTGGGTATAAACAAATCGGATCAGGTGTAGCGCTACCAGGCCAGCCATGGCTGCTGCTTCTGCTGCTGCTGCTGCATTTGTGCCGTTAATTGAATGCCTGTGGCTGATGAAAAGCAGACACCAAAAACAACAAAAAGAAGAATCGGATCAGATCGGATCGGATCGGATCGGGGAGCCAGCCGAGCTCTACTCAACGCCATCCACCGCATGCGCCTGGAGTCAGCTCTCGTCCGCTCCCGCCCCTTGGGCTCATGCCAAACAGACGCCATTTTTCTCGCTCTCGCTCTGCCACCCGCTGCCGCTTATTTGTGTCTCTCTTCTGCGTGCGCTCCGTGCCGCTCCTCTCCGGCTATTCCGGTTTATTTAGTATCGAGGTTATGGCGCAATTTGTATTTATGGGCAGCACCACCACACATGTGGCGGCAGTCCAATTAAACGCATTTTCCAAATGACTCAGGTCGGCCCACCCGTTGCCCGGTCAGCACGCCCACTTGCACGCAGCCCAAGCAGTGATCGATCGCAGACACACAGGTCCCCGCTGCCAGAAGACCACGCCCACGCCACAGAGAGAGAGAGAGAGAGAGAGAAAGAGAGCCAGAGCACAGAGGAGCCTGGCATTGTGGTTCATTCTCTGATGGAGTGAAGAACGAATCCTAAACTTTAGATCATTATAATAACAGCTAATAGCTGAGACCCAATCGAATTCATGAAAAGGAACACCAAAAACCACCCAAAGGCAGACTCCACTGTATCCCTGCGGACACTGCGCACGACACATGTCGACGCCTTAGACTTAGCCGCTGGCACAGTTCCCATTGGTCGACGGACTGGCATATGGATGCTCTGTCTAAATTTGGATGCTGCTGGCGGCGATTGGCGCACGGGATAGATGAGAGCCAGAGCCACTGGATCTGGGCGAGATCTTTCAAGTGCGCTGCAGTCAGTCTGCGGCAGAGTTCTTCTCATCTCATTTCTCATTCGGCAGACAATCGCCTGACGGAACGGATGTGTGTGCAACGCTGCAGCCAGTGGATCTTCATCAGATCAGTTCGATTGGTATCAGTTTGTGCGGTGCGTTTGCATAGATAGATAACTAAGTGTCTATTATTCGCGTGTGTGCAGTCGATCGACAAAAATCACTTCACACTTGGCCGGAAGAAGGTGGCAATTGAGGCAACTCAACGCCTCCGCCAACAGCCAAGCGAGACTGCCAGCCAGAGAATTCTGCAACAACAAAATAAGGAAACAAATAAAAGAAGTTCAAGTCAATCAATCGATCGATTCGGGCACTGATCGATCAGGCCGACAACAAAATATTCGCCAGTCAACGCCAACGGGCCATAAAGCAGAAGCGAATCATTTGAAAATCCAAAGAAAACACAAAAGCAAGAACACATTTTGCCTCAAATGGGAATGAAATAAATATATTTTTTTGTTGTTGTTGTGATCGATAAAGCAGTTTCCAGTGTACATCCCATGGGTGTGTGTTCGAGTGTGTGTGCCTGAGTGTGTTCGTGGCTCAATAATCAAATTTGACAACTGCGCGAAAAACGTTTGAGATCAAAACAAATCAAACAAAATCAACCAAATAAATGGGCCAACAATCAGTCCTGTGAGGCTTCCTTTTTTTTATTGTGTTACCCAAAAGTTGCCAGCAATTGACAGATCCGCCGCATAGGGATATTGCCTGTGGTATTGTGAGATTAAAATCGTGCTTAAATGACTCACCTGAGGGGGGGTCCCACGGAGTGCGCCAGCGCCAGCGCCATGATGGGCACCTCGCTGCCCTTTCTGGACAACGGCCTGGGCGCCAGCCTAACGGATTACAGCTGCTACGCGAACGATTACTGGACCACGCCCTACATGAACGGCGGCCTCAGCCCCATGAAACAGATCGAAGGTGAGTGTCGTCTGCCTTGGCCAAAGGGGTTTAGCTGGAACCACAAAAGAGGAAGGGATGTCTGGGGACAGTGGGTGGAAGTAGTTTCTGTACATCAAATGGTTAACATTTATCCATGGTTTACTTTTGCTATAAGGCTAATTATTACACTGAAATTCTGCTTCTAGAACTCTAGTGTCAAATATTAGATATTACTTAGATAATATTTAAAAAAAAAACATTTTTTTTTTATTTTTTTTTTTTTCCCAACTTATTTTGCTATTACTTAAATCTTCACTGATGTAGAAATAAAAATATGTAAAAGAATATTTTCAACTTTTTCGGCTTTTCAATAATATTTTGCCTCATAAATAATTAATTGAAATTTTCAAATTCTGCACTAAAACTAAATGAAATAAATATTTGAGCTTCATTTGCACCATGTGAAGTAAAGTTTAAAGTGCTTTTCGTAATTCAAAAATGATTTCTAAATATTCGAAATGAACAACTTGAACGGAAGGCACTTGAAAAATGCTCATCACAGCTTCCACATAAGTGGAGTCGAGCTCCTCGAGCCGCAATGAGTCCGTGGCTTGGGGGCGAGTGCCACCGAAATTCCGCTTCGGATAAACTAATTACCAAAATACACGAACCATGCCAGCCCAGAAATCAGAGCAATTAGCTCGGGAGAATTCTTTGTGGCAGGCATTTCGTCTCTGCCACTGCCACTGGCTCAGCCTCTGCCTTCTGCCTCCGCCTCTGTTGTTGTTGTTTGATGTTTTTGCGTGACAGAAAAACGATTTTGTGTGCCAAACGTTAATTGATTTTAGAATTCATTCGCGAACAACAGCGAGAAAGCAAAGCGAAAAGTGTGTCCCATTAAGCGACAATCGCTGGCGGGAAAACCGAACCAGAGCAGTCCAACACGCTCGACCTGTCATGGGTCATTGGCAACGATGGCAGGGAACGACCCGCGATGCGCCTTCCTTGCCACTCGCCCAAGCGTTGACAATTAATTTCAGAGCAAAATTGACTCGCAACACGGCCAGGCCTGCACTGCCTGGGGCCCTTTGAGGAGAGAGGAGAGGAGAGGAGAGGGAATAACTAAATTTAGAGCTGGCGTCTCAATCAGCAGCCGCTGCTCTGACGCCTTTTTATAATTGGATATGTTGTCCCATTTGCTCCGTTCTTTGCCCAGCGAAAGTCGGCTCATTATGTTCGGCCAGATTGGGTCGACTGTGGGGCTAACTCTTGTAGGCAAGGACTCTGCAGAGGGAGCCAAACTGCGCCGGCGTGGCGTCTCTCTCCCTCTCTGTGTGGTGTGTCTTCCACTTTAAATCGCATAAATCAAATTAAATGTGAAATTAGCAAAATCTCAGATGCTTTATGTGCGTGTGATTTATGGGCTTGAATTTCCTTTTGGCACCTCACAGATCTGCAGCATAATTAATAATAGTTACAACAACAACAAAACAAAAACCTGACTCCTTACAGCCTGCATACAGACGGCGGGCAAGGATCGCAGCTCTTACAAGCCACTGGAACAGATTGATGCCACATTGGCCGACATCGAGACGCACACAACGGCCAGCAGTGCCACAGCGGCAGCAACCAGCACCGGTAGCAACAGCAGCAACAGCAGTAACAGCAGCAACAGTTCTCTGAGCAACGCAAATGCCGGCTGCCAGGAGCTGGCGGACTATGAAGCCAGCAGCGGCGCAGCATTGGTGCCGGCCACGGGGGACAACACGGCAGCGGGTGGTGCACCGGCCAAGAAATACAACAAGAACCAACACAAAAAAGACAACAACAATCATTTGGAGAACAATGCGGCAAAAGCCAGCCACAGTCAAGGCAACAGCAACGCTGCCAGAGGGGTACGAAAATGTTCTAAGATTTTGCATACTTTTAGCAGCTAAATGAAGACTTTTCTGTGCTTGAAGTAATCCTTTGGTGACGGATTCCCGCTGCCTATCAGTTCTGATTCGTTTTCAAATTGTTTCCGCAGGAATCCGTGGAGGCCGTGCATCCATCGCTGGCCCAGGCCATCGTTGTGCTGGAGACAAAGGCGCTGTGGGATCAGTTTCACGCCCAGGGCACCGAGATGATCATCACGAAGACGGGCCGTCGCATGTTTCCCACGTTTCAGGTGCGCATCGGGGGCCTCGATCCACATGCCACCTACATCTGCATGATGGACTTTGTGCCGATGGACGACAAGCGCTATCGCTATGCCTTTCACAAGTGAGTTAGCCATTTGGCGCGAAGTCGCAGCTGTGTGCGAGTGATCCAATCTGGTCTTGTCCCTGACAGCTCCTGCTGGGTGGTGGCCGGCAAGGCGGATCCCATCTCGCCGCCTCGCATCCACGTGCACCCCGACTCGCCAGCGGCCGGCTCCAACTGGATGAAGCAGATCGTGTCCTTCGACAAGCTGAAGCTAACCAACAACCAGCTGGACGAGAACGGACATGTGAGTGGCCCTGCAGCAGGCTGACCCCCCAGGCTGCTAATCTCTTGCTCCTCCCTGCTCCAGATCATACTGAACTCGATGCACCGCTACCAGCCGCGCTTCCATCTGGTCTACTTGCCCCCCAAGAATGCCTCACTGGACGAGAACGAGCACTCGAGCCACTTTCGCACGTTCATCTTCCCGGAGACGAGCTTCACGGCCGTCACTGCCTACCAGAATCAGCGGGTGAGTGTCCCCCAATTGTTGTCCTCCTGCCACACATTGTTTATGGTATTCCCATAATTTATGGGAGCAGCGGCCAAAATATTATGTGAACTGAGAGAATGTTCCAAGCGTTCCATGTGCCATCAACGACGGCCAAGATACACTCATCAGTGATGTTTTTGCCAGCCAGGATTCCAATTTGATATTCATGCAACTAAATGCCAAAAGTTATGCCAGTTTCACGAGAAACTAGATGGACTCTGGGTCTAGATTTGTCCCTCGAATATAATTCATAATTCTAGCAATTGGGGCTAACAGAGCGGCGCGAGAATGTTTTCTATACATTTGGCCAGACATTCTTAAAAAGTATTTTCAATTATTTATGCGCTCGGTGTGGGCGTCAGCACTTTTCCACCTTCTCTCTCTCTCTCTCTCTTTCAAATTTATGGCACAAGCATTGCCCAATGCAAATTCCAGATTCAACTTGTAAACATTTTTCTCTAATTTGTTGTTGAGCAGCTAATTTATTTGTGCTCGCTGTGGCGTGGCATTCCGAGCATAAATTACCATCAATTCTGTTCGTATTTGCAGGTGACACAGCTGAAGATTTCCAGCAATCCCTTTGCCAAAGGTTTTCGGGACGATGGCACCAACGATGTGTAAGTTTATACTATTCAAACTTTGCCTATAATGCCCAGCCCTAAGGCTCGACAATTTGTGTGGACTGTGGCAGGCTGTGGCAAGTTGAACTAGACATTCCGTCGACGGCGGGCAAAGACGTTCCCGGAATGGCCGATGCGTCGCAGCCAGCTAAATATTCGAAAATAAATGAAAAGGGAAACAATAACTCAAAAACAAAAGAACTTCAAAATGTAGAACAGCCCAGCAGTCAGCAGTCAGCAGCCAGCAGCCAGCAGCCAGCAGCCTCTGTGGCTGATGATGGGAATGCTGATGATGATGCCCGATGCTCGATGCCTGGATGGGACCCGACTGACAGATGCGACGGCGGCATAAACAATTTCTTTCTGTTTTCCGAGGGCTTTTCATATTTGTCGAAAACGGGGAACTGGGAAGCGCCCAGTTCTAAACAAATCAGGGGGTCTGGTCTGCAATTTCTATTGTTTATGCCCTTAATGTTTATCAAAAAACAAAAAAACAAAAAATTCTCAGCATTTCTCATAAATTGTGCTCCAAATTGTTGGCTTAAGGGATTCTGTTCCAACTCAAACGCTTATCAAAAAGTGTTTATTAGAATGGTATTTGAATTATCGTTCGGATCAGATCTTGGCAGATGTTTATTAGCAGACAATTCAGATATATTCACGTGATGTCAGCCTCAATATCAGAGCCGACTCAGGGAGTCATAACAGCAAGCAGTTACAGAGTGGCAACAGCGAGCGGTAGCAGCGGGCAGTAACAGCAAGCGGTTAAAGAGTAGTAACAGCAAGCGGTTAAAGAGTAGTAACAGCAAGCGGTTACACAGCTCGCTAACAGCTAACAGCTCGGTAACATGCTGTGGCTCAGAGCATTTCATTTCAATGCCAATTATGTTGTTTTAAGCACATTTAAAGTAACTTTAGGCAAAACCACTTTGAGATAAACTGTTTGCTACTTTTAGGCTACTTGTTTAGGTACTTACACACATACATATGTACTCAAACTGAAATCGAAGTGGGAAAAACTGCTTAACATTTACAAACCGTTTCGGCTGCTATCTTTACAGTACCAACGGCAGCACGATGAGCCATGAAAGCCAGGCTCGCATGAAGCAACAGCAGCAGCAGCAGCAACAACAGCAGCAACAACTGCAACAACAGCAGCAGCAGTTGAGTGTCAAGGAAAGAACAAGCAGCAACAATTTCAGCCTGAGCTGCACAGAGCTAAATGTGGATCCCCAGCAGCAGCAGCAGCAGCAGCAGCAGCAGCACCATCAGCAGCAGCAACAGAGTGGCATGCAACTGCCAGCCACGCCCTCGAGCAGCTCCGCTTCAGGTAACTCCCCGGATCTGTTGTCCTTTCAAATGGAGCAACTACAGCAGCAGCAGCAACAGCAGCAGCAGCAGCAGCAGCAACATCACCTGCAACAGCAGCAACAGCAGCAGCAGCAGCAACAACATGCCGCGTTGCATCATCAGAGCCACAATCAATATGGCAGCTATCACCATGCCTACCAGACCCATCCACTGACGCCACACTCCACCAGCTCAGCCTCACCGCCAGCTGTAATCCCCGCCAGCAGCACAGCGACGGTCACAGGAGGAGCAGCAGCAGGGGGAGACACCGCGGCAGGAGCAACTGGAACAGGAACAGGAACAGGAACAGAAGTGGGAGCTGTGACTGGCACCGCTCCACAGGTTATGGCTGCCAGCATTTACACCAGCATCGGCCAGCCATATGCCCAGGAGCAGAGCAACTTTGGGGCCATTTACCATCACAATGCGGCCGCTGCCGCTGCCGCCCACTATCATCATGGCCACGCCCACAATCACGCCCATGGGCATGGTCACGGCCCATATGCCAGTGCGTACGACAAGCTGAAGGTGTCGCGGCATGCGGCAGCCGCCGCCTACGGCATGACCGCCGGCTATCAGACCTTCTACGGCTCGGCGGCCCATCATCAGATGATGCGACCCAACAGCTACATAGACCTGGTGCCCCGCTAGATGCCGCTCGGTCAGCCCCCGGGAACCGATCGCAGATCGAACAAGTATTAGCAGCAGTTGAGAAATAAAACCAAGTACATGCAAAAAAGTATTATAAGTATTTCTTCGCTCTCTCTCTTTTTTTTTTTTCCTAGTTCTTAGTGTAAACCAAAAACCAAATTATTTTTGTGCCTTTGTGTAAGAGAAAACCATACCAAAAAAAAATATATATATATGTTTGTATCAGAAAAACAAGAACAAAAAATGCATAATTATAGTTTGTAAAATGTAATTTTATCCTACGATTAATGTTTTAAATGTTATCTACATTTATTATATATATACATTTTTTTTTTTGCCTAACATTTAATCTTGCAGAATCTTGTGGAGTCCTCGCGGCTCGCTCTGATTATTCCTATGGCTTTTATGTACATAAAACATGCAAGAAAAGTGTATCTGCCCTTTCTCTCTCTCTCTCTCTCTCTCTCTCTCTCTCTAAATATACAACTGAAACAATTTCAGCAGCAACAAAACAATCATAAATTAACAAAAACAACAACAACGAAATTTTAATTTTCTTCAATTTCAAAATGGCCGGCGGGGGCCCGCGGGCGATCGGTAATTGGGGAAATGCGGTGTTTGTTTATGGCTTCTCAATGCTCCCTCCGTCCATGCCCCCCATCCAACGCTCTGTCTGACTGGCCATCTCTTTCTAAACAAAAAGTGCCGTTGTTTTAATTGAGAAAAACCAACGAAAGAGCATCGCTCGATCAAGGGTTGGCTGGCATAATCGAATGTCGAACAAGAATGCCGTTATATACATAGGTGGGTGCGATGGAAAGAGACAGAGTGAGAGTGTTCCAGAGGAAGGCAAGGCCAGAGATTGGAGTGGAAGAAAACACAGAGAATTACAAGGTGTGCAGTGAGGCGGGGAAACGTAGAAACAGACAAAATAAGTGAAAGGGTACTTGGCAGAGAGTGCCGCCCCCGGGTGGATGGCAGGAGAAATGCAGAGCGATGGCAGAAAGGTTAAATCGGTAAAAGAGGAGAGGGAGTGTGAGTGGTAGAGGGGTTAAATACCTGTGTGAAGAAGAGGCGGAGGAAGAACCAAAGGCTGGAAGCGAGATCGGGGAGCAAGAGATCGAGAGAAATAGACAGCCCATAAAATCGTATCTGTATCGTAATGATTTTCCATTTCTCCCCTCCCAACCACCCCGACCCACTCCATTGTTATCGTTGCGGGGTACGTCGACCCTTCGAAATGCATTTACCCATCCTGATAAGTTTTCCTCCCTGGCTGGCCCGCTGATTGACGAGGCGGATCTTTGGGGCAAACAATCATTATACATATGTACATACTTACATACATATTTACATATTCATGTACAAATGTTCCATTTAAAATCCATTTGGCCATCAAATTAAGTTGATTTTTCAGCTTTTTCTTTTAAATCATTTCATTTTTTATGTAAACTGTTGCTGTTGGGTCCAAGTATGTCAGCTAATGAACTGTTTACCTATCCCTATACCCGAACTAGATCACATAATGATAGTTACGTTTTTTTCTGCTAGCCAAAATCTGCAATAGTCCAGCCAAAGTCAACTCAAAGTGTGGCCCAGGGTGATGGGTCGACACTTCAGGCTGCGAAGTAAGTATTAACAGGTTGACAGCAACTGCATTACCGGCGCACTGCTTCAACCAAGCATGCCCTAATGACTTTTTGAATTATTAACCAACTGTTAACAATTAAGCGGGTTGTATGCTCTTAGCTGAAATTACCTTTCATCTGTGCCAGTCATTTTCAGCATATTTATTCGCATTTCATTCGGAAATCATCTGCTGCGCATCATCTTTCATCTATTTTGTTCTCCCACAGGGAATTTATGAATTTACAAGAAGATATCCAATACAGAATAAATCCAAAAGAAAGTTGGGCGTGGCAAATAAATGCAAAGATACAAAATACTTTTACAAACTTTACAGGGGACCTGTTTGAATTTATACATTTACCGATGTAATGCTGAATGGAACTACAGTTTGGATGAAAAATTACTCGCCAAACGTATATACTTGCCCCACACTGGGCTCTGTGTACATCGGAGGAGTAATCGGATGGAACGATCAGTGAGGCATGCGACACATGGTCTCGTTATCATTAGTAACGTCGCTTTTGGGTGACGTTTAAGCAGCAGCACCTCCTCCACCACTGGCTCCTCCACCTCAACACGGAACTATGTAGACGAGAGGAGACACGTCACTTCAATCTCAATTTCACACGCTCCGGCTCCGGCTCATGCTCCGAGCAACAGAAATCAGAAGTAAAGCGAAATGATTCTTCTCAAAAACGTTGTGACAAGCCATCAAAAGTCCGACAATCATTAGTCACAGGGGGGAATTGTGACACGCGCAGAGGAGAGGGATCGGGGCAGGGAGATTGATTATTTGGCATATTGAACTTTGACCAAAGATCTACAAACAAGTAGACACCCGGGAGGGACTAAGAGCATCTATTTGCTTGTAGAAAATTCATTCTACTCCTCTGCCCGCAGCAGCAGCATCAAAGAGATTCATATTTATTTATATGTCTAACATTTAATAACGCTACATATTCGTATAGACATATTTTTGTAGTCCCTCCTGCCGCCTGCCTCTGACTATGGTCCTCTCATAAATAAGAACAAATTGGCATGCAATTCGCCTTAGAGCAGCCACCAAGTAGAACATAAATTGCTCAACACTTGCATTCAATTTCTACAAAAACAACGATCAAGAACAAACAGATGTGTCGCCGACTGATTGAAGGAAGGGTGTGCTCGGGCCAGGGGCAGACGGATCGAGCAGGCAGAGTTCGGTCAAGAGGGGCATTTAGTCGGGGTAATTGCAACCAAGCAAGTGGGAAAGAAATTAGGAATCCAAATGATATTTTCAAGTTAAAGCCAGGAACAATGGCAGCTAACTTCCGAAATATTTAATTGAAGATTAATTAAGTGTGGATCGAACTTTTGCGGGAATTACTATAAACTGTACTTTCAGTTAGGCATTTTTGCTCGGCCCTTAATGACCGAAAATTGCATTCCTAAAATTCGTGCCCTTGGGGGCCGTTAGGTGCATAAGAAATAGGCGCTGCTGCTGCTGCGCTGCCGCTCACGTACACGCGTTTTACAGTAATTCGTGCCAATAGCAATGTTCCGTTTTGTGTGCGTCTTCACACACGAACGCAAAACGGCTCGTTAATTGTATGGTTGCCGAGCCCTGCTCTAAAATAATGGAATTAATTGTATTTGAATGTTTGCATCCATAACAGAGCTCTTTATCCACGCTTTTTTTTTTTGTAGATCTGAAGGAATATTCCCGGAAGTGGGAGTGGTGGGAAAGGTATTGGCAATCTATGAATCTGTTTGCTGATCAAATAAATCTTGCTAACGGGGGGAAACGGATATTACTAACGCAACTGACTAACCCCACAACGAATAACTTCACTGGGCTGTGAGTGAGTGATTCAGAGTCGAAGATTGCTGCACAAGCTGAAATGAATGACGAAATGAATGTGTCAGGTGCCGGTGAGCAGGTTGTGTCCGGTCCAAGTTCCAACAAATTACATTCATTGTAAGAACTCGAACGAGCCCCATGGAATTCCACGAAAATTTGGGAGGGTTCAACATCGACATGGAGTGGGAATCATCGTTTAATTTTATCGCCATAAACACTTTCGTTTGCTGATAAGTCTCACAATCGCGGCATACTCGTGTGACGTACATATCTTCGGGCACTTGCCGTGTTTCTATCATCTAGCTGAAGTCCGACAGTAGATGGCTCCAACTTATATACAGCAGTGCTGCGGCAGGCAAGGCACCACCGTACCACCGCCCTGTCATTATATGGTGATAATCAATTGGTGTGTCGGAGCCACTTGAGATTGGAATGGAAAGATGATTTGGATGCCACTGTAAAATGAATATTTTCGAATATTTATTGTCATCCCATACGATGTGGTAGGTCCACTTCACATCCCATCCATTCCATTCGATTCGATCCTATTTGTTGTTGTAGGTGTGCGCCCTGTCGCCCTGTCGATCTCTGGTGTTTCGATCTCGCATCTTGCATGGTGTCAAATGGCTTGAAGGCCCATGTCCGTGTCTCTCTCTCTCTCTCTCTCTGTATCTCTCTCTCTAGCCGCCGTCTCTATCTCTCTCTCTCTGTGTTTCAAGTGCAAAAAGAAACTGTTATTCTTATCATCTTCCGAGTGTTTGGTGCAGAGGTTCCAGTGGCTGAAGCGCATCCGTGGCCAATCGCTTTGAAAGTGAAACCGTGTTTATGCCGTTTGTTGTTCCAACCCGACACTTGAGTCTTTGTTTATGCGTTAGAGCCAGCAGCGTAACGCACTGTTTAGGGTAAAACTTAAAAACATAAACTACACAAATGCATACAACATATTCCTCCTTCGCTCTACTTCGATCACCACAGAACCTTAGAGCATGCCGTACTTTAGGGCATCAGCTAGTCGACTACCTTGCCTGTTTCCTGGTCTTGTGTTTTTTACTGTTATTTATGCCTGGATATGTATCGTTCCCTCAGAGACGCCAACACGAGACTCAAGTGGCGTACGGCGGCCTGACCAACCCCAAAATAAAAAATGAAAAGACAAAGAGGAAAGGAAAGGAAAGGAAAGGAAAAGGAATGACGAACGGCAACGGGAAACCCTTTGTGTGGGGAAACGCATGCGCGACTCGACTGTGTCGAGGGGCATATTTGACATATTGCTGACACGCCCACAAACAAATCTCTCCTCCGTCCCTGACACTCTCTCCTTCCCACTCTCTGCCCGTGTCACTCTCCACTTCAACGCTGCACAGATGGCGCACGTGCTTGCTCGGGATCGAGAAGGATGGGACTGCCCGTGGGCAGGCATATGTACACCAGTGGGCTGGACACCCAACATTGTTGCTACCATTTTATGAGCCATGAAAATTATGAAATAAAAATTGCATTTAAATAAGGCACATTCTTTTTGTCAGTGCAAAATGTGCAATTAATATTACACAATTGCAGCGGAGCGGAGAATTCCAGACAGGGGGGATCGTAGGATCGGGGGATCGGGGAATCTCTTGCCTGTCGATTCAACGGAAATTGAGCGCATAATTCAGAAAATTCAGAATGTTTCGCCTCGGATCGGATATGTCGTGCCATAAAAATCGTGTTGAAATGTGCAGCAGTGGCAGTGGCAGTGGCAGGAGGCTCGCTGGCTGGCTCCCTTCTGGCTCTCCATCGCATAGCCGGGCGCACTTACCGAAATTAATGCTATCGATGACAACACTGGCAGCCACAATAAAAGGCAAATGCCAAAAATAGCAGCCAAACATTATGCTGAGGAGGCTGCTGCTACCAGGGCAGGGATGGAAAAGGAATGACAAAGCAGCCACAGAAATTATAATGCTTGCCGTTGGTGGGTACAGTGATGGGGACGGGGGCGGGGGCGGGGCAGATGGGGACAATGTTGCCACTGCTGCACAATTATTGCCAACTGTTAACAGATTTGTTGGCAAAGAGAAATTGGAAGAGAGCGAGAGGGAGAGGGAGAGGGAGAGCGGCAGCAACATTTGTTTGATAATGATAATGGCCATGTTGATGCCTGGACCGGCTCGGTCCACAGAAGATGCAATTGCTCCAAGGGGAAATTGAGTCATTTCCAGATGGCACTCGTAATACAATGGCCGCACCTTTAAAAAAAACAAAACATTGATTGCAGGTTGTGTGTGTGTGTGTGTGTGTGTTTGTGTGTGTTTGTGTGTGTGTGTGTGTGTGTGTATGTGTGTCTGATTTATTTAATGATCAATTCGAATAACAGTCCTGCAACAGCGTAGAAATAATTCCAATCCAATCGAGAACTTTGGTTGATCAATGGAAGTTGTTCGTGCCTCCATGGGAAAAAGTAGAGCTGTGTGGCCGTCAGACTTGCTGCAAAACTAACATTTTGGGAGAGCAGTGAGCTAAAATAGAATGCAATAATATTATTTGTTGATTACAATTATAATTTGTAACAATTATGTGCTGAAAACAACCTCGGTTTGCTTACCTGTATTTTTGTAGATTTTCATAAAGATATCCAACGACTGCCGACTGCCAGCCGCAGACTTGTGGAATGTGGATTGTGGATTGTGGAATGTGGAGTGGAACAATCGGCGATTGGTAAGCTTGATATTGGATTTGTAGTGTGATTCTCATGTTTTATGCAACTAAAAACCAAACTTAATAAATGTTAAATGCTTTCGGAAGAGGGACGCACATCAAATAATTTCAGGTAATTTAAATTCTCTCGGGCCCTGCTTTTGAAATGCGATCTGTGGACAGGGAGGGAGTTGATTCAAAGCCGTTTGGTGGATATACATTTAGCATAGGTGCATACATGAGTGCATAAATCGCATCGAGCAGGTTCTTAGGAGGATCTCTTCAAATTGGTAGGCATAAGCCGGAAAAGGAACGAGGCCATGGCACAGCACGACTGGTAGTAGTGCCCGCTGGACTGCCGAGCCCAGCCGCAATGATGAGTGGGATCCATGTGCTTACGGCAGATGGCGCACACGGCTCTCTCATGGCCCTCCAACTTCGAGACGTAGAGAGCCCGATTTATGGCCACAAAGCAGATCTTCAGGCTATACAGCAGGTTGCCCATGCCCACAGCCGGCCAGTGCCACAGGCAGATGTACGTGGCGCCGAAGAATTCCAATTTATCGAAGAAGCTGATGGTTTGCGGAAGCGAGTGATTGTAGAGTTCGCACGGCTCTTGACGGGCCTTTGATGTGTGCCAAAGTCGCAGGGTGTGCAGGGCATGGAGCGTTAGAAAAGCTTGCTCCTGCATCAAGCGATCCTGGAGGCTGCCATCGCCCAGAAAGTTGTAATAGCAGAACATCAGCAACGCATCCAAGCCCAGCAGCACAGCGAGCACCTTGGGCAAATACTTCTTATCTAGGGGCTTCACGTGCTTCCGCGCGAAATAGTGCATCCAGTGCGACATCATCAGCAGCAGCAGGCAGTAGGGAACCGTAAAGTCCAGCTTGTCGGGCATAAAGCATAGGATAAAGACCATGTCCACTGCATGGACCAGGACACGTTTGTCCACTCTGATATACCGAACTTGGTACACAATGTAGTACAGGCTCGTTAGGGCCATCCACAAGAGGAGATCTTGGTATTTGGCGCGGACTTCGTTCATATTCAAACGCGTTTCAATTTGTTCTTCTCGTAAATGTTTTTACAATGAATCGGAATGAATTTCCTATTAAACTCGATGCTACACCTGGCACTGGTTTTGAAATTTGAAAAACTGACAGCTTTTTACACACAAAGTTATTTTTGAATGTTATTTTAGTGTGATTATCGATATCGATTTAAAAATGCCAGTACGGTATTTCGGTTAAAAAGTTCAGTATTTTTCGGAGTTTTGTTGGTATATTGCGGTATATTTGTGAGGGTTAAGCGGTATTTTTTGGCGTCAAAGGTTCATCATAACAGCCTGTTGCTGAACGTATCCTGATTAGACCCAATCAATCCTTGACAACAAAAAACATAATGTCTGGAACATTAACTCTCTGCGTCTGCGACTACTGGAAACGGCGTCACTACTACCAACGCCCACCCCTGGCCCTGGACGCGGCCTCCATCACAAACGAAGATTCGGTGGCGTCGGCAGTGGCGTGGTCGACCCCCGCGGATCAGGAAAAAAAGGCTGTGCGTCGCCTGAGGCTGCAGGTGGATGCCATAAATGGCAACTATTATCTGCAGGAGTTTCTGCAGCAGCGGGTTCTGGCACTGCGGCTGCAGAACCATCATGGAGTGCAATTGATTTGGTTGGAATTTGAGCCACCTGAGCGGGACACCATCGATTACAAGTTCGCCGACATACTGGCCCACACCATCTGGGAGCACATCGAGGTGGAGAATCTAATGTCCTGGCTATCCACACTCGGCGGTGGCTTCTCAGCCCTGGGCGAGCAATTTGGGCGATGCGTAAGTGTGGCATAAAAGACAAACCTCTGGGTACAGGCAATCAAAACCTCTCTGAATACACGCGAACAGGCGGAAACGGCTGGCAAGATCTCACTACAGCAGCTGAAGATTGGCTTGCGGCTGGGCGATCCGTTTCTACAGGCCCGCTGCAAGCTCTACTACAGCATTTCGCTGATCCAGCGCGGCCATTTGCGTGCGGCCAAGCACCTGATCCGGGAGCAGTATCAATTTGCGCGTGTCCATCGGGAGAAGGATCTGCGACTGGTGCGCATGTGCCAGGGCATTTGGCTGCGCCTGCGATACGAGTACGAGCAGCGAAACCAGCGGCTCAAGCAGCCCCCATCGCCATCAACAGCAGCAACCGAAAGTCAATAGATCCGCCAAGCAAAAACTAAACACAAAACAAATACTCTATTCTACGATAATCGCAATACGCGGCGTTACTACCATTTACCGGCAGGAGACAGGAGGCAGGAGGCAGGAAGGAGCATGAGTTACGATTCCAAGTTTTTAGGCAAACATTTTAAAATGTATATTTAATAGTTCTTTATTGTTAATATTATTGTTATTATTATTATTTAATGTGTAATTGTATATACGTAAAAAAATGCATTTACATCATTCATTTTCTTATTTAGTTTGAGTTTTGTTTGTATTATTTTTAGCCGGGCAAATAGTCAAAAAAAAAACAAAGTCGATACAGGGCATTTTGTTGTTGATTGCTTTTACTTAGGCTAGACGCAAATTATGTTTAAATTACAAATTGAACGCCATCCCAAAAGGGGCGATGTATAAGTGTGTAATTGTTTATAATTATATATCATATATAAATGTGTGTGAATGCATGTGTGTGTGTGTGTGGGTGTGTGTGTGTGTTTAAATCAATCAACTATTGCGTTCCGTTTTGGTAAGGCCCTGACATCATCAGACAACAGAGGATTTTGAATACATAATTTGATAGGGGGTATGGGGAGGACGAACAAATTGAAAAAGAATAAAAATTAATGCTTAAGTTGCTTGCATGCCACACCAACAACCATCTCGTCTTGTCTCGCCTCGCTTCGATGTGGCTGCTGCTGCCATTGATGTTGTAAAGCTTTTTATATACGTTTATATGGGTTGTATTTATATAATGACGACCGGCTGCTGCTCACTGCGCTCACTGCGCCAGCGTGCCCATTGGATCCCAGGCGGGCAGCACAATGGGTTTCATATCGAACACGCGCAGCACATCCTCGGGCACATACTTCCTGTCGACAACCACCTCGAAGCCAAATTCCCTAAACCAATCGGCGCACATCACCAGATACCCCTTCTCGCCACGATCTTCGCCCCAAGAGTTCTCCACGCGCAACTTCTGCGCCACGCCATTCTTCTGCAAAATCACAAGAGACACATTTAAGGATATTATTTTAAACATGCTTCGAAAGTGGGCAACAGAACTCACATCCACAGAGACGGCGGTGAAGACCATGGCATGGGTCATGGCCGACTCACCATACATGAGACGATCTGCCTTCGAGAAGGTCGTTTGTATGTCAATGTCGAAGACCAGCTTGAAGTCATGGCTGCGGGCAAACCAGAAACGAAATTAGAATGCAAGCCCATCCACACTTTCGGGTGAAACTTACACTGACATATCCTCGATGCCCTGCTTGGAGGCAAAACGCTTGCTGACCTCACAGCCAAACCAAACAGCTTCGCCGGCCTTCAGGGATTTGGTGACAACGGCCAGGAGCAGGTCCACAGGTTGATTGTTGTACAGAACGGGACGTCCGCCGACCACATTGCCCAGACAGTCGACAGTGTAGGCCTGATCGTATTTGCTGGTTGGACGGGGATCGGTCACCAGGCACACCTTGTCCTCCACATTAAAGTGCGGCTTCACATAGCGCTCGTAGAACTCCAGCGAGCTGATGGGGCCAATCGATTGGTAGTTCTTGCTCTTGTCGTAATACTCCCAGACGAACGTCTCAGAGGGTATGCCCAGGCAGATGCCCACCACCTTGTAGATCTCCGACATTTGCTCCTGGATCTTGGCTGTGATCTCCTCCTCCGTGGGCTGCTGATCCATCAGCACACGCAAATGGCGGGTATACTCCCGAAGCTGAACGAATGTAAATGGAAATTAAAGATTAGCAAATGACTGAGGGATGGGTGGAAGAGGAGCGGGGGAGAGGCTTTTCCATACCTTGCTCTTCAATATGGCATTCATTCGTAAGCTGGACTCGCAGCTAAAGCTCTCGGGAAAGCATTTCTTTGGCATGAGACCATGTTTGGTTATCAGATTGACCAGCATATCCCACTGACCGCCATCGGAGGTGGGGTCCAGCAATTGGAACGACACCAGACGGCCATCCACCCTCTCGCCGCGTCGCGCCGTCTTCACAACATTGTTGAGAAAATAGTTGCTGCGCTCGATCTTGTCCCAGTAGAAGAGGAACGCCTGCGAGAACTCAAACTCATCCAGATTGTAGTTCTTCATGAAGGGCAGGCGTATGCAGTTGAGGGCCGCAAACAGCCAGCAGCGGCCGCTGCTCCGCTGATTGGTCACCGGCTTGCCCTCCGTCTCCACCTTAAAGTTGAACACATGGTTCGTGGACTCCAGCACCTTGCGGGAGAGGCACGCATCGAACGGGTCCACACGGGAGCACACGTTCTGGGCGAGCAAGTTCTTCGGTTGGCTGTAGAAGTTTTTCCGCCACTCGCCGAGTAGTTCGGTGGTGATGGCACTGCTGGTGCCGCTATCGCTGTCCGATCCTTGGATGGAGTTCTTTGAAGCGCTGCTGTTATTGTTGCAATTTCCACCGGGGCCAGCGCCTGAAGAGCTATTCTTGTCAGCTGCAATTAAATTGGAATGGCAACGTTCGCCCGATTTTGAGTGGATATTTCGTACTGAATGAGTTGGGTCCTGGCTCTGCCTGCGACTGTGGCCCTCTCCCTGCTGCCACATCTTCGTCGGAGTCTTGGTCTTGATCTTGAGAGGAGTTTCTTGACAGCTGGCTAAATAGTGCAGGGATTTGCCCACACGCTTGAATGCCCACCGCGAATCTGGGTTAACGAAGATCGAACCAAAAACGAGAAAATTTTCGGTTGCGATTTTTACAAAACAAAAAATTTTGAAACATGCAAAGAATATCAAATTAAGCAACAAATTCAAAATCATTGAAAAATGACACTAAACTACAATAACAGGAATAACTCATATTTTGAGACGGGGGCGGGCTTTTGTGACTCAATGGAAATCTGAGAATGGGAATGGGTGCCCGTTGATAACGGTATCTTGAAAGACATCTCCCTCCCTAGAGTTGGCCAATGTTATTGCAAGATTGGCAGCTGCGAGTGCGGGCGGGCGTTGTCCACGGATTGTGGATAAAGGCCGAGGTACATGAGCTGAAAAATAACTTGCACAAAAAGCAGAAATTGAAAGCGAGAACAGCTGCTGCGGGACCGGGCCGGGCCGTTGCCATTAGCATTAACTGCAAATGTCTCTCTGTCTGTCCCTGTCTTTCTCACCCGCTCGTTTAGCGTGCGTGTATGTGCGTCTTTGTGTGTGTGTGTTATGCACTTTGGATTTCTGCTGCTTTGCCATTTATTGTAGATATTGCGGACCAGCTTTTGTTTTAATTGTTTCCTTCATGCATGCATGGATGTGTGAGTGTGTCGCCAAGGCCTGGCCCCCAGATGCTGATAACGCAAATCTTGATGAGTTAGCAAAATTGTAAAGAAAACTGAGCGTAAATAAACCTGGAAAAATGTATATTAGCACAACTATGACCCTTTTGGAATTGGGTTTCTCTCTGTGAAGTGAGAGGACGATGGAATTAAACCAGTTTAACGGGACTCGCAGACATTTGCCCGTTAATTCATATACAATACACACATTTAGGCATAGCGGGTGTGGAGTTATGAGCGAGAGAGGGTGATGTAGAGAAGACGAAGAGAAGGCTGGCCAACAGGCCAAAATGCCGTTTTAAAGACTTTCGCGGAAAGCCGGCCCAAAAAATCTAAACAAACAAAAAAAACAACAAAAAAAGGGTTAGCAAAAAAACAAAACTTGTTTGTCCAGTATTATACGTGTGGCTGAGTGTGAGCCACAAAAAAAAACACGAATTGGGTGAAATTTTACTTTCGTCTGGACAATGTTGTGGCTGCTGTTGCTGGGGCGTCAGCAAAATTGTCTCTCGCTCACACACACACAGAGCCAAGAGACACACACCCGCACACTTGTACATGGGTTGTCACCCCCGCACAAAGCGGTCCAACAACAACAACCAAAGGTTGCAGAAACTGCAGCAAAAACCATTTCCTTCATTCTTCTTAACCATTATTTTGGCTGCTGCTTTCTTTGTACTTATCGTTCTTTGTGGTCCGTAGTCCAACCCACTGCGTCAGAGGAGGCATGCGCGGGGGCGGGGACATCGTCTCTCGAACGCGTCCTACTTTACTTACACATCGTTTTTTTTTGGTCCTTTTTCACTCTTTTTGCTTAACTTTTAAAAATTTCACTTGTTTTGAATTTGATAACTACGGAATCTGGCTCTGCTCTACTTTCATATGTGTGTGCAAGCAACAGTGAGACCGCGGACTAGTTGACAAAATATTCCGATGCACCCTCAAAGATGTTCCGAAATATACGTTTCATTTTCAAAATATACCGGAAACATACCGACAAAAAATCATATTTATAAATTTTTACATTTGAAGCAATAAAAAAAGCTATTTTGGACACTTGCCACTAGAGCTATAGTTGTATTTAATTAATCAATGAACGCTCTGCGACCTTAGCTTATTATTGGATTGTACAACAGAAATTTTTCGTCAAAGAAGGTGAGGGAAAATATCCATCATATTTTACATGGTAATTACACGGTCCCATCTTACAAATTGAAATGCGTTGCAACTTCTCGAGTATTTCGTTAATATTAAATTTCATTAAATTAATAATGTTTATTCGGGAGGGGCCTAGTTAGAGCGAAGATATCAATTTGGCGTTTCCTTGAGCATTTTTAAAGAATTTTTATGTTTATTTTTCAGAAGTAGCGGTTGTTTTTTTCACATAACTAAAGTATCTTATATATTGTTGCAAACAAATTTGCATGAGTGCATGAGTTGCATGAGTTTGGCGTCGTTTAATAATTAAATAGTCTATCTATCCATCTATCTATAGCGGCAGTGTGAATAACCTCTTCTATCCACTTTTGTTTCGAAATTTAAAAAAAACGCGTTAAAAAAAATACTGGAAGAAAAGAAAATACTTATAAATGCAAGGTGTGTGTCCTAAGCAAGGTCGTCGTAAAATAGTTGGAACAGCCATGATCCCCGATGTTGAATTTGCTTCTTAATATTACTAGCAAATAAGGCTACAACAGAAAATCGAGTAATCAATCGAATACAATTATAGTGATTAGTGCTAAAAGTCCTAAATAGCTGGCAGTAACAAATTGAATATCAAAATGGAGGAAAATTATTTACGATTTGGTAGATTTACGGTATATTTTTAGGGTCTGCGGTATATTTGATTAATAATCCGCTATCACAAAGGTTTTTGGCTGTTGCTTTGACTAAGGTAGGGCAGAGGTAGTGGTGGGATTTTGGAATCCATCCCCGTCCGGGCCAGCAACCCCCGCCGTTTAGCCATCACAATCACATCACGCTTCAACCCAATCATCTGGTTATTGTTTAAGTGTTCTTCAAACCCCCCATGAAATCCCACAAGTGAATCGGATTTGATTCAAGAGCAGGCAGTGCAGTTGTCCGTCGTTTGTCGTTTCGCGATATTCGGTTCGGGCACCAACAAAAAGTCATGGATAACCAGGACAACAAAAATGGCGACTTGACCGCCACGGAGCTGGCCAACTTTCAGTTCTACATGGAGAAGTGGTTCCTGCCGCCACTGGATCTCAAGAATGATATTGTTTATTGCCAGCGGGCGATGCGTGACTTTGTCAAGGTGCATTCGGTGAGTGGTGTAGTTGGAGCAGGCAGCCACTGCGGCAGGCAGCTCGCGCGAGGGATGCATCAAATGTTAAAACAATTTTTATATGCTTCCCCTCATTTTAGCTGGTTTCGGAGGTGTTCTCGCAGCAGGAGGATGCGGTAAGTTGGTCAGAAATTCGTGTGCTGCCAAGCAGTGGAATGCATGGAGGAACCACCCAAAGCAGTGAAGCACAACCAGGGTTGGCCACCATTTTAAAATGGTCAAAAAAAAACACAACAAAAAATTAAATTGACATTTTGCTGCACTTTGCCCCAAGCCTCTCAGTCTATTAGCCTGGTCTTTAAATTAATTTTTTTGATTTTTAATTCGGGCCTCTGTCGCTCTCTCTCTCTCGCTGCTTGCATAACAGGATCCCGTGGCCATGCGTCGCATCTTGGACGAACTGGAGCAGGAGATTTACGAGATAAATGCCGAGTGCCAGTACCAAATGCTGCGCCTCGATGAAGAGGTCGACGTTTTCCTCAAGAAACTGGAGGAGATCCAAATCAGAACCGACATTAATGAGGCCAATGCGTACGTCTCCACGCTGTTAGTGCCTTTAATTGCGAACGAAGACTATATAATCATTCCCCAGAATGTGGCTAATCGCGACAACGAGGAGACGCTCATTCGCAAGCATTTTCTCCTGTCGCAAGAGGGAGAGGATCCACCCATGAATCTAAGCGATCTCGATGATAATATTGCGCTCATGCTGGGTCCCACAGACACGACCATTCAAATCGAACTGGAAAATGGTGACACTGAGCAAGCCGAGACGCTGGAAACGTCAGAGGATCAGGCGAAGCCAACACAGGCACAACCGAGTGTGCCACCATCCTTACTTCGTTCGTTGCCTGACACTGTGTTCAGAAAAGGGGAGCAGAGCGAGAGCGAGCCCCCGCCGCTTCTAATCGCCAACAGTACGCTGAAGCCGCAGCGTTCGCTATTGATACCAAGAAAGCAGCCAGATAAATTTGGCTTGCAACACAAGAAGCGCATATCGAGTACCTCACCGCCACCGTTGGCGCCCATTACGATTGAGTTTCCTCAGGCTCAGACTGAGGTTCAGGACACATCGCAGACCGAGCTCTGCTTTGAGCAGATCGAGGCCAGCCGCGGCAACTTGCGCAAGGTGCTGAAGCGGTCCAGGAAGACCAAGCAAATGCCGCGCCTGTGCTACGAGGACAACGTGGAGCTGACGAAAATAGAGACTGATGTAAAGCGAAAGCCCGGGAAGATGAGCAACGTTGCCAAAGCTTTACAAAACACTGCAACATCATCATCCGTAGCTGAGAAGCCGGACAAGCAGCCACCAACACCGCCGCCGCTGCCATCACCACCACTGCCGAAGCGACAGGGCACTGGGGCAGCAAAAAAGTCGTCCAAGCTGCCCAAAACCTTCCGCAAATCGTCACCAGAGGTGCCGCCCGAGGGAACGGGAGCTAGAGTTTCGCCATCAGCTTCATCCGATGACTCCACCACGCAGGAGTTGCAGCAGGAGCAGCAGCGTCTGTCCGCCTCGGCGGCCCAGTGGCGCGACGAGCCGCGCGAGACACGTGTCACGCCCGCCGAGTACGGCCAGGAGACATTCCTGCGCATCTTTGGCCTGTACACGCCCGAGGTGATTACGAAACTCAGTCAGCGCCACTCGAAGCGCAAACGTCGTAATGTTCAGAATGCCAGCGGCGTTGACTTTCACTATGGCCAGCAAGTGAATGCCACGCTGGACACGCCGATGGGTCGCCTAAAGAAGGTGAAGAACAAACCGGAGTTCCTGCTCTCGCCCAAGGAGAAGCGACTGCAGGCCAAGAAGGCCGATGTCCGCAAGAGCAAGACTCCGGACAAGGCGGCCGCCGTTGAGGCGGCGCAGACTGCCATGGCTGATGGCGAGGAGGCTGTCGCTGGCATTACTGCTGCCAAGTGCCGCAAGTGTCGCGGTGAATGCCAGCATTGCCGGCAGTGCAAGCGTCTCGTAGGTGAGTAGAAGCCAGCCAAGCAGCTTGCCAAAGGGAGATCCTGATCCTGAACTTTTCTCTTATCTGCTTAGTAGGCAAAGACGACGGAGTTTGCGAGCTGTGTGACGGCGCCTTTCACAAAGACTGCCATCAGCCCACAAAAAACCGGCTGCTGTTGCAGACACAAAAGAAACGCTGCCCAGCCTGCTGTGAGAATCTGCTGTCCGCCAGCAGCAGCAACAACAACGCCAACACCTCCAACACCAGCAGCGGCAGCAACAGCAGCGGCAGCAGCAACACTACCAAAAAGTCAGGCGGGGCCCAGACCGTTTAACTTTCTTATGTCTTCAAATATGCTTAACACGAACACACACACACCCCTCTAGTTTTTAAAACTAACAAATAATTATCCACCCGCAACGATAGAGATCCCCAGAGGGAGTGAGAAAGATCCCCAGGTAGCCCTTTGGCCTGGCTCTCGTTGCGAAGCCTTTGCAGTTTTTTGTTTGTTTTAATGTTGCATAGCAGTGGACAGCGGCGTCTGTGGCGGCCGCTTGCCGCTTTCGAGAGTGTTTTTTTTTTTTTCGATAATTATTAGACATACATATAATTTGATATTTCTAAAGTTTATTTCAAGCTACAGTTTCACACATACCTAAAGCAGAAATGTATGTGCAAGCCTGTGCATACGCGAGAGCAAGTGATTTACGTAATAAAATACACTGTACGAAACAGGCGAAGGACTGTTTTCGATGTTAAAAAGAAACAGTTCTTTGTTATATTTGATTGGGGTGTTTGATGAGTCCCCAAGACACCAAAATAAAACCAAATGAAATGCGAGTCTGTTTCTTTTTCGTTTCATTTAATTATAAAGTAGTACAAAAATAAGAATATTTCTCTAGGCTAAAGGCTAATTGGTGCATCAGATGAGACGACAAACAGATGGCAGCAGCACTGACAGCAGGGGGAAGAGTATAACCAGTCGCCCTGTGGGCTGCGTCCAGCTGTGCCCCTTGTTGCAGAGATCGCCCTGGCAGAAGCACATGTAGACCTTCTTGTAGTTGTATATGGTGTCGGCGCAGCGGTCCATGTTGTCGTCGGGTCCGCGCTGGACGCACATGCGCTGGATGGCAAGGTCGTAGTCATCGATGGCGTAGGTGCCGCCGCCCTCGATTACCTTGCCACACCAGCCGCTGGCGCAGGGCACGGCGGACAGGCCGGACTCGTGGTCCACATCCGTGGCATTGAAATTGAAGGGATCCTTGCAGCTGCCCAGCTCACCGCGGGAGCGGCACTGATAGCACCGTCTCAGAAGACCTGCAGGGGTAGAAAGCAAAAAGTGAAATTGCAGCAGAAACCACACACACACACTCGTAAACAAAGGCCTTGCAACACACACACACACACATGAAAACAGATGACAAAAGACTTAAACGGAGCACAAACTTTGCAGAGGACTCACCATGGATTTTGCCAAAGAGGAAGCTGCATCCAAAGAGGAATATCACAGCCAGGCATAAGCTTATGTATTTCATTGTTCCCTATTGTTTTAAGTATTGCGAGCAGCGCTATTTATTAAAATTATTGTCCAGTAATCGATGGTTTTCCCTTTCTGTTTCCATTGATGTGGCTACTACACTATCGATAGCAAACACCTTTCGCTAGTACTGCTGCGGTGCACTAAAAACACTATGAGAAAAAAGGTGCCAAGTCGAAATTTAGGTATTTAACTCAACGTGCATCACGATCCTGGTGTAATGTAACCACAATATGTAAATATATGTTTAAGATTAATATATATCTTTGCGATACTCGCACAGCTGTCATCACTAGGCTATAGCAACCCTGTTTTTGGGTGTCGAACAACACTTGCTTTACTACTTGTGTACACACTGTGCCTCGTTCGTCGTACAATATATCATAGCGAAAAATTATTATCGCCCAGTTCTTTACATATTTTTGTTATTTTTTTTTGAACCAAACAATAACCAAGATAAAGCCCGCAAGTACAGAAAAGTGGCAGTGCAGCTGGGAGAGTTTGTGGAGAGTAAGCCAAGCAGAGAAACTGCCAAGGAAGCGCTGCGTACGTACAAAAAAAATTACCCCAAAAGAGAAACAGACACAAATTTGCAATTGGTTGTTGGCAGCCAGAGCAGAAGTAGCAGCAGCTGTGCGTCGTAACACACAAAAATGTGAAAAGAAGCAAAGAGACAGGCAGACGGAAGGAGCGCTGTGCCTAAGCGGTGCATAAACAAATGAAATATTTAAATAGACATAATCATTCGTTGACGCTGACAGCGACGTCGGCTGCACAGTGACACCTTGCAATCTGCAATCCGACCCCCGCCCGAAAACCCCTTGTCATTTGTGTTCTCTTTGCCAACTGTTTTATTTCTCCGCAGCAGTTGCATCTCATTTGGAATTCGAATTCAAATTGGAATTGAGATCGGACCAGGAAGTGAGCGCACCAGCAACAGTAACAGCAATAGCAACAACCAAGGATGGCATTGGAAAGCGGCACACAAACGGGCAGCAATGCGCTGACATCATCATTCACAACAAAAAAGAAGGATGCCGCCGCGGAAAAGGAGAATCTGTGGTGAGTGCACAACTATAAACTCCAATTAGTGAATTTTGTGCTCTGTGCTCGCCCGCCCGCCCGCTCTCTCGCGTCTGTCCCTCTCTCGATGTGAGCGAGCGCGCCTCTACCACTTCTCTGTCCCCTGATAAACATTTCAACTTTCTTTAGCTGACGTTTGCTAACTGTTAACTGTTCCTTTGCCGGCACACCCACCAGGCCAACCGCCTTAGACCACACCACACCACACCACCCCACTCCGACCCGCCTTCTCGCGCTCTGTCGCACTCGAGTGAGTGAGTGGCCGACCAGCTGATTGCTATGCATGTTGTCATTACCCTCTCTAGTTGTTCTTTCTTTCGATTCTTTCTTTAGCCTCTCTGCCTACTGCCTTTTTCTAGTTAACCTCAAATGTGGGTTGGCAACGTTTTTTTCCCCAATGATTTGTTGCTAGTGGCAAATATTTAAGCGCAATAATTATTAAGTAAAATGCGTCAAATAAATGGCAGAGAAGGCGAAATAGAGAGAGAGAGACATGCTGGTTGACAGAGAGAGGGAAACAGCGAAAGAGAGAAACAATGTGGGGATGATTCACTTAGGCAGCGGCAGCAACGCTGGCAGCGCTTACCTTTTTCGCATTATCAATTTATTGTTGTTTTTCTGTCTTGCAAACACACTCTCACACACACAGACAGATAGTGAAGCCCAGCTTAGTGCGTGCTACCTATCAATACTGATTCCAATTGGAATTCGTACAAAACTTGGCCTGAAGCCAGGGCTATGTGTGCGTGTGTGTGTACGATGATGCTGTCATCGCTCAAATATGTATGGGTGTCTGTGCGTGTGTGTGACTACGTCTTTTGGGGCTTTGGGTTACACTGGTCGTCACAAGAAATGGAACACTCCTGAGAATGTAAATTCATTTTTCATTGTTGAGAAAGTTTGTTTGCTTGAAATATTACCCCGATAGCGTACATATGTAAAAATGTATATAGTTCCGCCTGAGGCATAGAATTCTTATGGAGCAATTTTTACGATTTTTACACAGGGTCTGGGGCCTGGTGGCCTGGGGCCGGTGGCCTGGGGCTATAAGCTGACAATTTAGACCTCGGGGTTCGTGGGTTGTTGTTCCTCTTTTGAGAAGCCAAAATGTTTTGGTTTTTGTTTTATTTAAATATGTTTTATTGGCTTCGGATTCGGTGTTGATATTAAATATATTGATGGATCAGAGATGCAAACACATAGAAATACCAGAGAGATTCCTCTGGTGCGGGAGGGGGGAGGGACAGGCGGTGCCTACATTTCCTCGATGAATACATCGCCGTCGTCATCGTTATCGGTGCTGCGCACTATCGTTTGCGACTGCTGCTGTTGCTGCCTATCGAAGTTGTTTTGAATACGCTCCAGCAAGTCGGTGGCCACCAGAGCAAAGTCCTCCCACAGGACATCGTGATCGCCGTCAAATGTCTCGTTTTCTGTATCCAGCACGTGATCATCCTCGCAGGCCTGCTCGTCATCGTCATCGCCTGCATTGAGGCGGTCCTCGTCGAGATAGTCGGCCAGCAGGTCGCTCACCTCGTCCAGAATGCTGCCGCTCCGACACAGAGTGGCCGCGCACTGGCCATCGATGAGGAGATTCCACAAGGCCTGACACACGATGTTGGCCAGGAACCAGTCCTCCTGCTCCAGCGATCCACGCAGCAACAGCGACAGCAGTTCCGCTCCGCGCAGCTGCAGAAATGGACCCCGTTGCTCGCCATCGCCCAGCAGATTGACCAGAACACCGATGGCGCAGGTGCGCAGCTCGTAGTCTTGACCAGCCGCCTCCCTTGTCAGCTGCTGGACCATCAGTGGCAGTCCGCCGGCCGCACAGAAGCGGCGTCGGGCGCCCTCGTTACGCGTGAGATTTCCCAGCACCCGTGTCAGCTCCACCTTGGTGGCAGCCGTCTGGCAGTTTGCCAGCACCTCCGCAAGCGACGCGGACAGTTCATCGATGAGACTCTGCAGGGAACCAGCAGTAGGTGCTGGGACGGCAACGCTGTCTGTCGGCTGTTTATCCTGATAGAAGCACAAATTGTGCAGAGCACCCAGTGTGGCATGCAGCAACTCTTGCTGCTCCGCAGACTGAAAATAACGAGAGCATAACCAAAGGAGCCGAAGGAACAGACGGAGCCTCACCTTATTCTTGGCCAACGAAGCGCTTGTGCGGCTGAGCAGCTTAAGCAGCACCGAACCCAAAGTCCGGATATTTCCCAGGTCAGCGCCCACCTCGGGATTCACGCTCATGTTGGCCACCACACGAATCAGCTTGATCTGGGCATCCAGAAGGGCCACGGTGCTCGTCGAGCGTTCGCCCAACTGCTCCAGCACATTCAGCAGATACTCCATGGCCACATCGTTGTGAAAGTACTGCAGGAGAAGGCAAGGAGTGTATGGAATCCATGATTAAATGTTGTCTTGTATTGATTGTAGATCTGATTGTCGCACCTGAATTCTGGCAGACTCGTGCTTGGCCAGGATATTGCCCAGCATGTAGCCCAGTCGACTGAGGACGGCCAGGACACGTTCGCTGGTGCTCGCACTCGAGCAGGATGGACCCAGCAGCAGGCCAATTCGGGCGGCATAATTGTGCAGCGTCTCACAGCAGTCAGAGTCCTCGGAGAGCACACTGCAAAGGAAAGGAAGATGGAGATGAATCTTGCAGGCTTTAGCAGCGACTGCAGGGACTACCTCAGAGTGCGCACAACATTGGTCTGCACCTCCAGCTCCCCCATGGAGATCTCTGCAGCACGAATCAGATGCGGACAGGCGAGCTTTAGCTGCAGCTGAAGCCGTTGCTGCTGCTGCGATACATCGGCCAGGGCACGCATGGCTGCCGACAGCTGGTAGAGCGTGTGCAGCGGCGGTCCGCTCAATCGCTTTGTGGCACCCGCCTCATTGAGCATCTGCAGGTGAAGGATCATCAGCTCCACGGCGCCGTGGCGGGCGAGACGTGCCACCAATGTCTGCTGTCCCGTCAATTTGCGCGGACACAGCACGGCCGCGGGGACTGCAGCAAGCGTAGCAGAAACGGGTGCAGAAAGGGGAGCAGTTATGGCCTCGCCCAGCCCAATCCAATTGCGATTGAGAGCATCGTCCCGGTCCTGGGCACAGCTGGCGGTGAGGAAGCGTATGCAGCCATAAGCATAGATGCACGCCTCGGGCTCGTCGAGTGGCGAGGCGTGGCCCAAACCGTCGATCAGCAGCTCCATGACATCGTTATCATGGAACAGCGCATCATTCTGCTCGTGCCGAGCCACCTTGAAGATGAGTTTGCAGGCGCCCGTCAAATTGCTGCCCGTCACACGAAGCTGTGGGGCGGGAGTGCAGCAGCTTAGAGATGAAAACGGATGACCAAAATGGTGGATTACTCACAGCTAAGACTACTCTGGCCACGGCCAGGAGAACACGCGGCGATGTGCACTCCACCAGGCCATAGAGACCGCCCAGAATGAAGCCACGCTTGAAGCTGCGCTCCTGTTTCCTCACGCGTGTGTAGAGCTCCTGCAAGATCTGCAAGCAAATATGAAGGATAAAGACATGAAGATGGATGCCCTACCCACCGCTTACCGCATTTATATGCTGCACTGTCTCATTGGTGCAGTCCTTTAGGCCGCTATGCTGCTTCAGCAGCTCAATCAGCGTCTCTGTGGTGGACTGCCCGAGCAGCGCACCGTTCCGTGTGGGCATGGGTGTAGTCGGACCCGTGCCAGAGAGTGCGGGAAGTTGTCTGGGCGTTGGCTTCTCATTCTGCAGATACCGCATGCTGCAACGGACAATCCAAGAGTGGAATAATTAACCTAAAAGGAAACCGCAGCACTTACGAAAAGGCGCTGGGTGGACGTCCGGCTAAGGCCACTTTGCCATACAGAACTCGACCGGGTTCGCGAGGCGTTATCGGACGTCGAGTGCTGACCAGACGTGCACCGCCAGTGGCCATCATTTGCATGGCGGCTGCACCACCAGCAGCACCTCCGCCGACACCTGCCACCGTATCGCCAAGGAAAAGCTTCGCCTCGCTAATCAGCTCCGCAGAGGTCTTGCGTCTGCCCATGCCGCCCGCCATCGAATAGCTGCTGGATTGTGGTTGCTGTTGATGGGAAATTCCCAATTTGTTGAGACTCTGCTCGCTGGCATGCGGCTTGCTACGCATCTGTGTGGATCTCTCCTGGTCTTTCGGCTTCTGCTGTGGCTGCGTTTGCTGCTTGGACTTATCTGGAATGTCTTTGGGACGCGTTTCACTGCGGGAGCGTCGCTTTAGCAGCAAACTCATTTTGGAGCTGCCTCCTGTTAGCTTCCTGCAACTTCTAGTGAATATTTTTGATGAGAATTCTCAATCCTCAGCAGCTGGACAGCACACGCGCTCTCAACTGGCAGGGCCAACAGCCTTAAGTGTACTCACAGCGGCGATAAATGCCTGGAAAAATGTATTTTTCGTTTGGGCCCTTTCGTGCCACCATGCCAACCAGTCGGTGGCCCAAGCCGTTGCCCACTCCCCCCCCCCGCGATAGCTTCGGGTCGGCATGACTGTCAAGTGTGAAGCGAGCCAGCGGGTCGGGCCACCCGCCACCAAATGTTGGAACGTTAAAAGTTTCGTTTACTATTGCCATCAGTGGAGGAACAGTGGGGCGAGTGGCAGCTTTTCATGGAAAATATAATTGTAAGGGGAAAATTAATAGAAATAGCAAGAGAATTTCATGTAAAAGCAGTGGAAACGTAATTATGGCATGGTAAATGGATGGCAGCTGCTAGTTAATTCAAAGAAACTCCCAAAAATGCTCAAAACTGCAGCAGGAAATCGAACAATTGTTTCGACATGCAACCACTGTGCCACACAGCAATAGGCAAATGAAGAAATACCAAAAATACAATTGAAAAGAGCTGGAAAAGCGGGAGCTGGCAATCGATATTCCTGCCAGTCGACCGAGGTCAATTTGCATGTCCAGGCAGCGCAGTCCAGTTGCGGCAAGCACAAGTATTTCACGTCAATTGAAAAATATTTAATTGCTTTAATTGAATTGCAGACGTTTGAGAACTGGCAGGCAAAACCATATCAAATATTGACGCCACCAGCAGTTGGCTCCCTCTCCCTCCAAAAATGGAGCACAATGGAGGCAGTAAATGTGGATTTGGAATATGGTTGGAGGGGTACCAATTAACTTGATGGCGAATGGTAGAATGCTTTTGCGAAAAATAAGGGAAAATGCTGATGAATGATGGAACTGACCTGAATTCACTCACGATTGTGCGCTCGTATTTCCAACCATGTTCGTGTGCTAGCCCCACTCTGAGGAAGCCCAGTTCTGGCATTGTTTGTTAGCTCGTGGCAAAGTGTATGAATTCTTGATCATTATTATGCATTTTAGAGTCCATTATCCACTCAAAGTTTTCTCGTTTCGGGACTGTCACAAAAATATTTGCTTTACACTTTTAAGAGCAAGACAATTGATGTGCATAAAGTAGCTGCGTCTAGCCATTGATTTGCAAACATTTCTAATTGGTTTTCGTTTGCAGGTCGGCAATATTGAATGAAGTACAAACACAGGGCAGCACAAAACTTCCATCAAACAAATCTGTACTAGTATTAGGCGATAATGCCACCGGCAAGACAACTCTCATTGCCAAACTTCAGGGTGTGGAGGATCCCAAAAAAGGTTCCGGCCTGGAGTATGCCTATATTGATGTCAAAGACGAGTACAGAGACGGTATGTGTAGCATATCTATTCTATGTTTATTTTTTCATTTTTCTACTTTGTATTTTGCAGACATGACGCGTTTGGGTGTTTGGGTCCTGGACGGTGATCCAGGACACACAAATCTGCTACACTTCGCGCTCAACGAAACGAACTATGCACACACACTCGTCATACTCACAGTGTCGATGACCCAGCCATGGGGCTGGCTGGAGCAGCTCAATCATTGGATCAAAGTCCTCGGAAAGCATATCGAGAGCCTGCCACTGGAGGCTAAGGATAAGGAGACGGCACGCCAGCGACTGGCCACAACGTGGCAGAGCTATTGCGAGGTCGGCGATGACCTGGACCCCGGCTCACCCGTCAAACGGACCATGCGCAACAACTCAATCGATGAGGATGACCTGTTGCCGCTGACAGAGGACGCACTAATTACAAATCTGGGTCTCGATATAGTCGTTGTGGTCACAAAGGTAAAAGAGACAGACTCTGCTTTGTGGTTGCATTTAAACAATTGGAATGTTTCTAGACGGACTACATGACCACATTGGAGAAGGAGTACGAGTACCGGGATGAGCATTTTGATTTTATTCAGCAATGGATACGCAACTTTTGCCTACGAACCGGCGCCTCGCTCTTCTATACGAGCGTCAAAGAAGATAAGAACTGTGATCTCCTCTACAAATATCTAACGCATCGAATTTATGGCCTACCATTTCGTACGCCAGCGCTAGTCGTTGAAAAGGATGCGGTACTCATGTGAGTAATACAAATCAACCAACAAACGTTTGCCTCATTTCATTTTTTTGTGTGTTACAGTCCAGCTGGTTGGGATAGCCTCAAGAAGATTAGTATTTTGTATGAGAATATGCATGGCATCAAGGCCGAAAGTCCCTACACAGATGTCATCAAGGCGCCGCCCACACGAAAGGTTCGTAGGTTGTCCCCTTTGCTACCATTTCGATTGGTGCTTGCTGTTTATTATTATAATTATAATTATTTTTATTGTTTCTCAAGGCGGTGTCCAATCGCGAGGTGGAAGTGCAAACGGAGGACGAGCAGACCTTTCTGGCCCGCCAACAGGAGACACTCAAGCAGGCTGGACAGGATCGTGGAGAATCACCGCTGCGTTCGCAGGGCGGTGGCAGTGTTGGAGGTGGCAATAAGAGTGTGCCACGCACGCCTGGCAGCACCGGACAGAGCTCACCCAAGAAGGTTGTTTAACAGCTAAACAAAACCAAAACAAATTTTGTAATTCGTTTATGTTTTTTTCCGGCAGATTGATCCCAAGCTGACGCCAGCCACGCCCGGCGGCGAGGGTGTTCTGGCCAATTTCTTCAACTCACTGCTACACAAAAAGTCTGGCAGCCCGGCTGGCGGTGCAGGGCCACCGGGCACCGGCACACCCGCAGGCACAACGCGCACCACCAATGGCACCGACAGCCTCATGACGCCCGAGAAGTTGGCCGTCCGTTCTGATGCGGCCGCCGAGTTGGATCGACTGTCGCGCAGCGTCAAAAAGGAGATTGATATGTCACAGAGTGAGTGTTGAAAAACACACAACACCAGCCCTCAGCAGCAGCAGCTTCTACAGCGGCAGCACCAACAACAGCAACAACAACAACAACAACAACAACAGAACCAGAACAACATTATAAGACATCTTTAAGCAAAAAGTGGAATGCAGAGAGGCTCGTAAGATAAGTGAAAGAGAGAGAGAGAGGGAACAAAAGAAGGGGACAACAGCATTTTGGATCATTCAATGGCCAAATAGTTGTTGTTGTGCAAATGGATGTTTTGATCATTGTGTTTTATACCTTAGAAATGATAAGAATTAATGAGTTGAATCTTTTCATTTCAATTTCGTTTAAATTCCGATTTTAACCATCAGCAGCAGCAATCGTAAATCGTATGATTGAAATGCGGAAACTGATTAAAATCAATTAAATTATTTTATTAGCAAATTTTGAGAAGTTCGATTAAAAGCTGTAATTTTTAGAAAATCGTTCGCTAACAAATGAGAATTAAAAGTGAAGCATATTAGGTACAAAAGTGACAGCACTCCAAAGCTGGCTTCCATTCTCATCAAGTGATCAAAACCATGCTTGAAATGAAACACAAAATCAACTCCTTAAGCGAGAAACTCATTTGATGAGTTTCATGACCAATTTCGGGCTTTCCATCAGGCACTCTAAAATGGGTTTTTATTTTTACGAGCCTCCTGCGACTCATACTCAAAAACGTTCGATAGGAAATTAAATACGAAAACACATTGGCACTTAATGGTTCGGCCTAGCAAAAAAAAAAGAAATGTATGCTATATATTTTAAGTGAACTTGTCTGCTAGGCATATTGATTCCTCTGCTCGCGCAGCGATTTGGGTCAGCGCATGTGGGGAGAAGGTGATGATGATGATGATGATGATGATGATGTTGGAAGGAATTCAAGTAATAATACAAATCACATAAGTAAAACGTTTTTTTTTGTTCCCGCGGGTCCACACACGTTTGTATAATAACTTATTTAAATGCTGTAAAATGTAAACGAAACGATGGAAAGGGATGGGAAGGGAAGGAGTGTGGGAAAATTGAGAGATTCTAAAAGTGCAAGATGGCCCCAGAGGAATCGTGATAGTTGGGGCCTACACACACACACACACACACACACGCGCCTAAATGTAGCTCGATAGCTTGTATGTATATTTTAATTATAGTAATTAATTACACACACACGCTGGCCTATATACACCATACAGACACTGTAATTGTATTAGTTTCCTTTCGTAACACCGTAAATCCGTAAGCAGAAAAACAGTTTATAACATTATTTATACATCAGCAGCAACAACACTAAAATTAATGTAATTTGCTTTCCTAAAATCGTAAGCAAAACACACATATTTATACAAATTGATAAGAAACTGGAATGGCCCCGTGGCCACTATGTAAATGATGAGTTACCCAGCCTAAGTGTATACACTTCATTAGTTTCGTTTCACTCCTCTGTCATTAATTTTAAACCTTAACCCACTGTGTTTTTTTTATCGAATCCATCAGGAAGAGCAAAGCAAGAGACACTTTTAAAATATGTGTTAAATAAGAATTTTAAGCAATCGCAAAGAATGGCGCCAATTAATGGCGGAAATATGGATCAACTCCTGGTTGAACTCAAGTCCAACACTCCCATCACGATGCAGCAGAGCGAGATGCCAAAAATGGTGTTTCCTATTTCCTATTTTCCCTTTTCCAAGCTAAATGTTATTTTGTTTTGGCACAAACTTCGTAATATTATTTGCCATACGCATAGACAAATTAGTCGCACATTTTCTTTCTTTTTCTTCGCTCTTTGCATCTCGCTCCATGCCGTGTGTCGTCAGCAGTGACCGCAAAGAAAAGAAAAATCAGCAAACAACAGAAACAAAATTTGTGCTATTGAAACTATTTTGATGTATAAAAAATAATTAATTTAATGAAATATATTTTATAACATTATATAAATATATAATACACGAGCATATAAACTAATGTGCAAGCAAATTATTTAAACAAATTCAATGGTAAAAGACCCTCAAGAGCTTCGCACATCCCCAGCACGAGGCTTGGGCCATGGTAGATACTTACGTGTGTAATCCGGCATCAAATCTGCGTTAAAAATAATGCAAGCAAGAACTAACACAATTAAATAAATTTTCCCAAAAACATTTCAATAAATATCTTTCCTTCAATTGAAACGCGCCGAAAATATGGTAAATCTTTCTGTGTGTGAAGAACATTTTCAATCATTTTCAATGGGAAATGTATTAGTTCAATGGTGGTGAAGTTTTAGGACAGTTTCAAGAATTAACTTGCATATTCCTCTTTCAAAAGTGGGACCAACAAATGAATCAAAAGTCAGTTCGTTTCCATCAATTGCAAACACATACTTTAGCTCCGAGCTAATGAGCATTTGAGTAAAATTAATATAGTTTTAAAACTGATTTTCGTTGTCTCATATTTAATATCAAGCGATAAAATCAAAGAGAACATTTACAGATAGAAACTGTGAGTTTGTTGGGATGGCATGGGATGGGAAGGGAAGGGCTGCCCTAAAATGTACTTTTATTAATGATGACCCGCTTCTGAGATGATAATCGCACGAAATGGGAGTAGGAGAGGCCATACAATGTGTGTATATTTCACATATCATTGATATTTTCATTTCGATAGTGATTTTGTTTATCCTCCTTTCAGACTCGAGCCTTCGAACTCCGCTGCCACTCATCTCTAACCCTGTGTGTCTGTGAGGCTGTGCGAAGGTCTGAGAGTAACAGCTGGCTCTTTTCCTCACCTTACACAGCCTTGATATCTCCAAGGATAACACTTTGCTTGACCTTTCTCTGGGTGGCAGCGTGTGTGCGTGGGTTTGGGAGCGCGCGCGTGATAAATGATGACGCCAGTCTACCTCAGCCGCTGCCTTCTGTCAGCCTGCGCCAACCGTTTGATACTTATTGTTTCAGCCCGCATCCTTTGAGCCAGGCGACAGTTTGCCAAGTTTGTTTCAGCCACTAGCACGTGCTCATTTCGCTTATTGCCAGAGCCGGAACTCAGACACCAACCACCACCCAGTAGGGCCGGGCCCCGCACTGACTTGGCGCCTTTTCTCTGCCAGCCTCGATTTGGCTCACAAAATATTGACATTGATTTTGATTCCCTTTTTGATTTTGATGTGCCGCCTGCCTGCCTGCCTGCAGTGGCTGTGGCAGCAGCAGCTGGCACTGCCTCAAGCGTTGCATGTGTCCTTATATCATCATCTTATGAGATTTATTCTCTGGATTGTGATTGATTCTGTGATGCCAAAGGTTGGCACAAAGGTTACAATTAAATAAAACCCCTGCAATTCTACAATCAAAATCGAAGGGAACGCCCGATGCTTCGGCCCAAAAAGTGATATAAAAAGCCACTTGGGTTACATTTCATAAATGTTACATTGCAAAGATTATTTTCATTTATTATTCATTTATTTAATTTCATTCATATTTCCTTTGCTGCACTTGACTCTCATTTTTGTTGTATTGTAAATTAATTAGTGCTTTTTTCTTGCTTTGATTTTGATGGACAATGAATTTAATTGGAAAATAAGTTATGCACGCAATTGACAGCCGAGAGCAGCGGTAAAAAATGAAAAGAAATAATATATATGCATAAATGTTACAGCAAATCAAATTGTGTGCAATTTAATTAAGATTCTTTTTCGTTCGCCGCCAGTCCTGTCGCACTACAAACTAATACTAATTAAGCATGGCAAAGAATTCGGTTGGCTTCTCTGTTGGAAATGAATCGAACTAATTGAATTTGCATTAATTTTCCGCAGCAGCTGCGGAGCCGAGGGGATAAATAAGCGAAAAATAAATAATAAATATCAAGCATAAAAACCGGAAAAAATACTGAAACATGCGTGAATTATTTATGGAGCATTCTGCTCTAGGGTTTGCAGGGCAGCCCCAAACAACTAATGCCATTCACATTATTCAATTAATTTGTTAACAAATTAATCAACAGTTTTTGGCTAATAAATAACACATAGTAATATTCTAATTCAAGCCTCAGAACAAGTTTCTCCACAGCCAGTTTCATTTGTATAATGACAGCCTAATTGGAATTGGCATTAGATGGGATGTGCAAATGGAATCTCTATGAGTGGAATCTGTTCTGAGGGACTGGTGGGGGTGATAAGTGAGTGCAAAACTTTTGACAGCCTGCGGCCTTGTGGATGTGGCACCAAATAGACAAATAAAACAGACAAAAACAAAGGCGGAGACAGAGAAATATGCGAGGGCAGTAGACAATAAATAAATTAGATTTATCAATCTCAACTGGCAAGAGAACAACCAAAACTTGTGTAAGAAGAACTTGTAAATGCTCGCCTGCAACGGGGATGATTGCTTGATTGATTTTTGTGACCTTACTGGCACTCTAGCAGTTTCATCTACAGTCGTGTTACACTCTCCTTCTGGAGGAACTTATAATGGATTTGGATCTGCAGCTTATGGATAGTCGGTGCAAAAGACAAGCTGGAAAAACTCCTACTTTATGCCAAATAGTGTTTTAAGCTGCATAAATAATCGTATTTAAACGTGGCTTCCTGGTATATAGTTCTTGGAACTGGCAAACCCCAGCCGGAACTGGGTTACCCTCACTTCCTACTCTTTTATGCATTATTTTTGCAGGCAAAAGGAGAAATGTGTGTGAAATGTCCCTAGCAAAAAGATCTTGCCGGATGCCATTTAGATAGCTTTGGGTTTTAAGTGAAGTAAAAACGAAAATACTCGTAGAATACACAATACGGTCCATCCGGGCATCCGGAATGAGTTTCCACAAAATGGTCAGCCAACTAATTGCCGTTGGCCCTAATGGCTTTAATTGACAATTTTTGTTGTCCAACCGGGCAAATGGCTCTCTCGCAGTAGAAGCGAAGAAACAATTGAAATTTTTGGCCAGAAAAGGCGAACGTTATCCAGTGGCTGGTGGGGTGCTGTTGGGTGGCTTGAGAATAGATAAATGAAATTCTCTCTGTGTGGTCAAAGAGTGTCATGTGCATTTGGGGGCAGAACTGCTGGCAATAACTTTATACAGTCCAAGCATAAGAAAACCAAATCATTAGTGCGTCCTGCTGTCCAGCTGTCCAGCTGTCCAGCTGTCCTTCCCTGCTGCCATCCTACGGAGATGAAGCTGTAGCTGTAGCTGTAGCTGGCTCCTGGCCACCGCATTTGATTTTATTTGAGCTGCTTTTTCCCTGAGTCTGTGTCTGTCCGTCCGGAAACTCAATTTGTTAGACAAATGCGAGAGAACAGAAGCAGAAGCTTCTGCAGCATGTGCAGGAGCAGAAAGAGCCAACACAAAGACAAGACACAGCTCCAAGGACAAAGGCGCAACGCACCTGGCATCATGCATACACATGGACATACGTTCATCCTTGGCCATGTCTATTAAAGCTACATCTGCACTTTTCTCTCAATGAACTCGAACTGCAGCTCCAATTGATTTCTATCAAAAAAAAAAAAAAAAAAAAAGAACGCTGTGAGTCGCGTTCGTGCGCGTCTCAACGTTTATAACCGTTACTCGGTACTCATTTTTACCTACTAAAAACCAATTTCAATTTGGTGCTAGAGAACAATTTATTTATTCTGCAGAAAAGTGAAAAAAAAATGCAAGAAACACACACAAAAATCTTAAAATCAATCGAAAAAAATCGCAAAAAAAAAAGAGTTTACAAAATAAGAGAATATAATTGAGGGACAATATTCTAGAGGGTCTCGCCCAGGGGCTTGATTATTATCTCGTGCACTTGGACATGTGGGGGTGTGCCAATGGCATAGAGGACCGCCTGGGCAATGTCCGCAGAGTGAAGCATGCGTCCGCTGATGGCATCCCTGATGCTATCCGGTAGAATTTCCGTGTCCACCACACCAGGACTGATGCTCTATTCGTGGAAGAAAAGACAAACAAAATGTAGGGAAAGTAAATGAATGGGCAAGGAGGAAAACCCACTGTAACTTTAATGCGTGTTCCCAGGGCTAGGAACTCCTGGCGATAGCCCTCTGTCAAGGCAGTCACCGCGTGCTTGCTGGGCGGATAGACATTCACATCGGGCAGAACGTCCTCCCTGGCGGTCATGGTCTTGTGCCCCAAAATGCTGTTGATGATCACCACATGGCCATCGAATTTGCGCTCTCGCATCGAGCGAACAGCGCGCTGTGTGCACAGGACAACGCCCATGATATTCGTCTGGATAACCTGCTGCATAAGCGCCGGATTCATGTCCACCAACTGGCCCGACTGCAGAGTGCCGGCATTGTTCACGAGTATATCGATGGCGCCGAACTTCTGGATTATCCAGTCGAAGGCCTCCGTCACCGAACTCTCGCTGCCCACATCGCAGTACAGGGCCACCAGTTTATCCTTTCGTGTGGCGGGCAGGCGCTGCTGCAGCTCCTGGACGCGCTCCACGCGGCGTGCCAGTCCAACGACCGTGAGTCCCGCCTTGACCAGATCCACAGCAATGGCCGATCCAATGCCCGAACTGGCACCCGTCACGACGGCCAAGCGATTTTGCCAGCGATCCATGTTGTTCCCCGGTTAGCGACTATTTCTGATCTCTGATCGATTGGACCGCAGCGCCTCCTTTTATAACACAGTCTGAGATTGCGTGTGAGCGCCAGCAATCTCTCTGTCTAAACGGGTTCTAACCCCCTGGCCATTCTAAGTTATAATTACGACATGGGAAAGAGCTAGTCAAGCGTGTTTCATCAATGAGAGTTCGCCAACTGTGGGCTACTTGGGAACACGTGCGGGGGATTAAAACCTATGACTGAGTTGTAGGAGGCTCCATCCAATTTACTTAAACAATTGTCGGATATTCAGAGAGGAGGGTAGCCAAAAAAGATTTCTATTTTCTTAAAGTTCTCAACGAATAGTCTCTGTTTGCCCAAGTAGCAATTTCATTGGACATTCATCAATCATCAATTAGAGATGATTGATAGACATCTAAATTTAGAACAGACTTTCAGTTTTAGTTTCTATTATCATTTGCATGGCATTATTTTGATGAATACTTTAGCCCAAAGCACGCTCTTTTTCAGCCCATTGAGTGTTTCAAATTACTATTGTCAGACATTGAATTTACCTGTTAAATAAACTTCACAAATTTGACGTTTCAATCAGCTCGACATTTCTCTATCGGAAATTATACAAATCAAGCGAAAATGACTAAGCGGAAGATGTCTCCGCTGTGCCGCTCGCCAATTCCCATTCATCTTTGATTCGCTTATTAAAAACACGAAGCGTATTGATTGATTCTTGTTATGCTTTTTATGCTTTTTATTATTTATTTCGCTTTACAATTTGGTTTTGCTTTTCCGGCTTCTACCAGAAGCCACCTTTGCCGCTGCCCTGTCCCTGCATGCCGCCGCCGTAGCTGCCGCCCATGTCCATGCCGTTGTAGGCACAGAAGGCCTCGCCGTTCTCAATGCACGGCTCGTACGATCCCTGGGCCTGGTTCTGCTCAAAGAAGGTGTTCGGTACCGGACAGGTGAGGGGGGAACTCATGGAGCTGTAGTCTCCCATGCCCATCATGCTCTGCATGGACATGGGACTCTGCCCCGCCATTGAAGCTCCACCCATGCCAGGATACTGCTGCTGCGACTGCTGCGACTGCTGCGACTGCGGATGCATGCCGCTTCCTCCGTAAAGGTTCATGGAACTACCTTGATGCGAGACCTGTGCCTGGTTGTGCCTCTGCATGGGAGCCGCCTGGTCGTGGCCAATGGTGGGCCACTGTCCACCGCTGTAGCAGGATGCATTCGGCTGCATCATGTCTCCCACTTGAGGGTACAGGGGTGCGTTCACAGGTTGTCCATTCCAGAATGAGAAGTTTGCCATTGTTTTGTGCCGCACAAAGTTGTTTCTACAATTTCGTTTCAAAACAATTATTTTAAATACAATTTTTATTTTTTTGGGACAATTTTTGTTTTTGCTTTTATGCACAAAATTTGGTTCTAGCCGAATGATGTGAACAGTTCGAAAGTAGGATTAAAACTGAGGAAAACTACTGGAACAGCTCCTAACTCATATATCATTTGACATTTCGGGCAGTTTCAAGGCCAACTTGATGCTTGGAATGCCCAGTGGGTAAACACGTGCAATCAAGCAGTGCGCTTGAACAGATATACTCGTAAAGCAGTGCATATTAACCCTTTAAGTGCAGCACTTTGAGGCGTTTTTCTTTGGTTACAAAAATGTATCCCACAATTGGCATCCATTTTCTCCGCTGCGCTCTGCGTTCTAATTCAGGACATTCTCTGTTATTTAGCATAGAATTTAATACAGTGATAAATGACATTTCTCTTAATTTTCAGCTCTTTATTTTTACCCGTTTCGACCGTGCTGGGTGGTGGCACGGGGCACGTGGCACGTGGCTCTGGCTCTGGCTCTGGCTCTGGGGTTTGTGTTTGTGTTAATTTTGAAAAAGGACGCCAACTGTCATGGTTGCTGCGCAGATGTTAATGATGAAGACGTGGCAAGGAGTGTTTGTCCCAACCAAGGATATCCGTCGGGTATAACAGTTGCCAGCAGCAGCAGCTGTGAAATTTTTTTTAGAAAATAAAAATAGTATCCGACCTTTATACAGGGTACTGTTACGGCCTAACCCCGGCATAAAACGATAATGCGCAGGGGCCAAGTCCTCGTGTCACAGCGCCGTTATGGAAGCTTAAATGTGATATAAAATGGCTACGATCGATGGGTCCAATGAGTGCTACCCTGTTGGGTTTCCCTTGCGTTTAATTTAGAGTGAAAGCAAATGGCTTCATGTGAAGTTTCCCCTTTTTTTCTACACAAATATTTATATCAAAATCTTTCACAGCATATTAAAAGTGAGCTTTGTGGAAGCCGTGGAAGCCGTGCTGTGCCCGCTTCCATCTCTAGGGCATAAAGCATAATATCAAAACACTTGAACTGAGTGGAAACGAAGGCGAAAAGCAAAGCAAAGACAGCAGAACAACAGCTAGCAAAAGACAGCAGGCACAAGAACAATAACGGACAGCAGCTGAAGGAAGGAACAACAGCAAAAAAGAAACACAGACAAAAAAGAGCGCCACATGGCAGGTGGTGGTGAGGGTGTTGATAATGATAGCAAAGACAAAAGCCCCAACCATGCCTAATGGGACACAGACGGACGGAGGGAGATGAGGGGCGGTCTATCCGGCTGTCATGCCCATGTCCTTGACGCGGATTGCAGTAGTTAAATTGCCTGTCCTCGGCGGGCGTCAACATTGTGTCATTGCTGCTATTAAATCAGACGCAAACAAATGATGATGCACAAGTGCGACCCAAGTACATGTTGTACATTAACATTTACATATGTACATACATACATACATACATACTACATGCATAAATATGCATTAGGAAAATCACTCGAAAAAGATGAACTGCTAGAACGTGGTGCGAGCGCGTTAAAAGTAAACAATTTTCTGCCATTTACCTGCAGCAGCTTCTGTGTCCACTTCCTTATGCTGTTTAAGAGAAGACGACAACGCACGATAACTGTTAATTCGATGGGAAGTTTGGTTACTCTTGAGCTGCAGCTTAGCTGGGGGCTTAAGTCTCTCTTTAGGCTCACGTAACAGTTCAAGTGATCAACTGTGGGGGCGGAACTCTAATGACTGCGGCCTAATCACTCCGCTTCAGAGAACTTTCCAACGGAAGTGGTCGTGGCTGCTTGGGCAATGTCCACCACAGGCAGAGCTAAAGCAAGAGGGAGGGAGGGACAGACAGAGAGAGAGAGAGAGGGTGGGTGGGGAGTGTGGACTGCCTGCCGTCTTACCGCATCACATAGCCCCTGCCAATTTATTTAATATGCCGTACGTGAGCTTCCGCCGCTTCGTTTATGGGGCTCTGCCTCTCCGCCGACTCAGATTCTTCCCCCCTCTCTCTCTCTCGCTCTCTCTCTCTCTCTGAGGTCCGTACCCACAATGCTCTCTGGCCTTGCCTCTGCCGCTGTCGCTGCCGCTGTGTGTGTTTGTGTTTTTTGCACTTTCTCGCATTTCATTTCACTTTACTGGACGTTTTCAAATTTTTCACTTGAGTGAGCTTTTGCAGGCGGTTTCACATCTTTAACGATGTGAAACAGAACACAAATAAAGCGCACAGAAGTTTCAGGAACAGCCAGAGGGGAGAGTGGACAGCTGTCCGACGATTTGTAATAAGCAAAGCCCGCCTCAGAGCTGCAGCGAAAGAGTGGGAGTTGGCCTTACTCACTGACCGAAGTCCAGTCTCTGACAGTTGGGCACAAAAACAGCATGTAGAAGGAAGCAGTTTATATGATCTGAGGATGCAGGGAAATAATTGTATGCGACATATTTCAATAGTTTTTTTTGTTCAGCAATAAATTGTTATAATTGACGCACCCAGGCCTGGGTGGCCTGCATCTTCAAAGTACTTTTGAGAGTGCTAGTCCTTTCAAGCTCATCCGCAGTACCAGCCCATTCGTCCTCATAGCCATCAGTCTTGATGGTCCACGCTAAGCTAAGCCAAGCCAAGTCAAGCCAAGCCATTCCATGCCACGCCACACCACACTGAGCCAAGCCCAAGCCAAAGCCCAAGCCAAAGCTCAAGCCCGACCTCGGCCTCGGCCTCGGCCCGTGTGCTTTTCTTTGTGTTTGCGCATTCGAGTGACGTGATGCGGCAGCTGCGCCGCTGCCCGCTGCCCGCTGCCCGTGCCGTTTTATCCCCGTTTCAGTCTCGTCTTCTGGCTGAGCTTACAACAGTTTCGTACCCGTTACTGGCACACATTCAAGGGTATATTGCTTCTAAGCTTATTTTGCACACTCACAAAATAGTATAGGAAATGATAGTTCCAAATTGTGGTAAATAATAAATGCCATCAATTTACTTAATATTTAGTGCAATTTTCACACTTTTCTTGCGCCAGAATGTCAGCAGTTTAAGCAACAAAAAATCAAACGAAAATAATGAACAATGAAACCAGAACGTAATAACTATGGAAACGAAAGATTCAAATGCACATATCCAAATACATTTAATATCGATCGAGGGCATCCTCTAGTCCATACATGTACCAGGGAATTCCAAATAGTTTTTTCTCTCGTTGCCCGACTCTTTTCCCATCCATTGCGGTATTCCAAAGTGAGTATTTCCATATTTATAGGTTTTTGAAATAGCTCCTAACTAGCTCGGACCCTGGCAAAGGGTCCTGCCAAAGTCACTTTTGCATAGAAATTGCTCGATTTTCGCTCGGACTAACGTAAATGCGATAAAGTGGATGGCATTTTGGTTCTTTTTTTGTGTTTGATCTTACAAAGCCAAGACAGAGTTTCAGGAGAGATATCCATTAAGATGGATCAAGAGTTTGCAGCAGAAAGGCTTCAAAATTCTCTGTTTATGAACCTATTTATGGCTTGATGCTGCGGTAATGATTGACCATCATGTGACCATTTAGTTAGTGGCATTCCCTTCATCGCTCCCGATTTGTACTCCTTTTGTTTTCATAGTTTTCCGGGAAGGTTTAGGTCTGTCTGCCTGTTGACCTTTAGCTGTTTACTGACATTTATACATTTATATAAGGTTCAAGGGTTCATGGCAAAATTGATCGCCACAACGTGTTCATAACACACACACACACAATCAACTCACAAATGTATGCCGCGGGGGGTGGACATGCCAGGACAGGGAAAAGCAGAATATTGATGGCAAAACTTCATGAAGCATAGCCATTTTTTGTTCATGTTGTTGCAGTGCGTAAATGCCAGATAAGGCGGCACGGCACACATGCGGCATGCGGCATGGCAGAAGAAAGACTTTGCAGATACCCTATTGCCAGTCATGGGAGATGGCGATGGAGAAATGTAACAATTGGGTCTTAGAGAGATCTAACGCAAGCTCCCTGCCACACACTTGGTGCTGTCGCTGGTGCGTGCAATTTGGAGCTTACAGCTGTCAGCTGACACACACACACACACACAGAGCGAGGAAAACTAAACGAAGCAAGCAATTTGGTGGACTGCAAACGATGCGAAGGGACAGCCAGCAGCAGCGAAGACAACAACAACTGGGGCGAGAGTGGATGAGAGCTCTGAATAAAAAGGAGGTTCAGGAAATGCGGGAAAAACAGAGTTGTCCTGGAACTGGACCCATAACCCTGGGCCTGCTGCCACTGTCGATTGCCAAATGAATTTTGTCAGGCAGCGAAGGTTGAAATTGGCTTTTGCCTTTTGGCGAACGTATTTTGAATTTTAATGCGGCCCCACGAAACCCGAAGCAGATCCACCGCAAGATGAAGAAGCTGCCAGGCAGGCAAACCCTTTTTTTGGTGCCGTTTTTGTTTGTGATGTCTGCAAAAGCAAACACAAGTGGGCAGAGTATTTCATTAGCAAAAGAGCTCGCTCCAGCCTGTAGCAGAGCCAATGTGTGGCCTTGGTTTATTTATTTTTTCTTCTCGTTTCTTGCTAGAAATCAACACATCGCACGCACTACAAAGCGACCGCAATAGGATTGGATTAACAGAAGCCAACAGAATCCAAGGTATCTTGGATACATTGACATCATGCCTACGGCTGTGGCTGTGGCTGTGGCTGTGGCTGTGGCTGTGGCACCCACGAGCCATCTCAGTTTGCGGTTGAACACTTTGCTGGTCGAGGTCTAGGGGCATTGATGAAGGAAAATAGCAGAGCATATTTGAATATTTGATTTCATTTATTTCATTTTATTCATTTATTATGTACGAACACATCGGACACCCAATCAGCCTCGAACACACACAATTCAACTCGATATCGATATTATCTTTATGAACCTCCGGACCTCAACTGAACTTAATTGAATAGAAGTCGGGCCTGGGTTTAGTTTATTAATTAACTTGTATGCTGTGAGGCCCCCAAAGCGCTTGATAATTGGGTTTAATGCCACACGCATTTGGGCTAGATATTTCTTAATTAAAACTCACATCCTTGTGAGTTGGATATGGATGCTTGGACCAGTAGAAATGTAAATATTGCAAGTGCACTTTCA